TATAGACAGAATTTACCAAAAGAAGTGGTTATCTAATATTAGTTTAGCTAATGATGTATTATATAAAATGAAGGCCCATTTATAAGAAATATGACTTGGTCATTATTTAGTGAATTAATATTTATAAATCATATATCATCCATTGGTCATGGTGCTGATAGAGAAAAATAAAACACTCAAGTTAGTGATTCTTTTTAGCCATTATATTTTAAAAGATGGACCTTTTCAAAAGTCAACTCATCCAGAAAATGGTTGGGAAACATGAATTTGACATATAGTGTCTAGACAAAGATACATACTTGCCTTTTGCTTTAAAATAATGAACAGTCTTAAGGCAAGATAAGCAATTCAGATTGGTATTTCTTAAAGAAATGTAAGGCACTCTGATTTTAATTTTTGTCCCTTTGAGGGAAGGAATTCTAGAGAACACATGAGGATGAAGAAGTTTGTACTTTTCTCACAGTGCCATTGTCCTCATTATTTGGTCTGAGAAGACCAACTTAAGATATTTGGGGGCAAGTGATATAATAGAACAGGTGCTAATAGAGCTGATAATTTTTGATAAAATTGGGAAGAGACTTGCATGATTGTTTTAAAGCCATGCTTTAATCCCCCAATAGGTTTAAAACTCTGTATTTGTAAGTTCCAATGATTTTTCAAGCAAGCAACAAAGGTTGGCTGACTCATTGCTAAGTACAAACACACACACACACACACACACACACACACACAAACATGTTGGGTAATGTAAAATGTCAGTGGATGTGCTGGAGAATCAGGTTCAAAGTCACTCTAGGAAAATAACCTGAACCATGTCAGCAAGAACCTACAAGAAAACAGTTACCCATATCAGCTCCGTTGAATGGTGACAGTTCCCGTGGCAGCTGCCACCACCACGGCATCAGAAACTCCTCTCTGTAGCAGACAGCAGTGCTTCTGGGCTTTAGAGCAACTTCTGTCTTTTTCTTAGTTTGCATACTTGCTAGAACTTCCAGAAAAATTAATAGTGTTAATGCTAAATATCCGTTTTGTTTCCTGACTTTAATAGAAAAATGTGTATTTTCTTTGGTACACCATTACATACTTGTCCAAAGAACGTTAGGGAACTCATCTTCAATACCTCAATTTCTAAGAGATTGGGGATCTGAAAAAGTCATGTTTTTAATATTTAAAGTAAGAAATAAAATTTGAATTTTATCAGATGCTTCTTATGAAAAGATACTATTTTTCAATGAATGCATTAATGTGGAACAGTAATAGGTTTCTAACATTTACTTTCTTATAAGAGTTACACCCACTCAGTCATGGTAGGATAAACTGTTATGTAATACCTAGGTTATGAGTGCAGGTTATGGAATCTGGCTGCCTCAATTATCTTCTAGGTTTTGTCATGATTATTTTGTGACCATGGAAAGGAACTTAGCTCCTGTAAAACTAGGGTTATCATTTGCAAAATGAGGAAGATAAATAATAATTCTAGTAAGAGTTGTGTGAAAATCATTCAAGATAATTCTTGAAACCAACAGTGCATGACCCATAGTGAGCTCAGCCAAAGTCAACAAATATATCTCGTGTTTTACTATCTGAAATGTAATGATGATCTTAATACTGTGTGCATTACTTTTTCCAAAATATCCAGGTAAGATTGGCTTGTAATTTTCTTCTAGAATGGTATTTTCTCAGTTTTCTTGACACATTTCAGCATAAAGATATTTATCCTTACCAAATGTTCTGAATAGCTGTATATTCTGGATGACTTTAAACAATATTTAAATTTCTATTTAAGAAATTAAAATTCTTCTTTTTTAATTTTTTTTATTGTGAGAATACGGTACAGAGGAGTTACAATTACATTGGCAAGATAACGAGTACATTTCTTACCAAGCATTGTTGCCTCCTCTTTGTTTCCCCTTCCAATCCCTTCCCATACACCCCTTCCCCCACCTGATCCTTCCCCGGACCCTCCCACCAAGGTTGTAATGTTCATTTTCGACATAGCAACTCGTACATCTCATTGTTGCAATAAGTCCACCTGTATCCCTAGTTAAAACGATTTTTTCCCCTTCCCCTCCACAAATTATACCAACATCAAATACAGTGAAAGCATAGGTTATACCGTGGGGGAGGGACATACAAAGCAACATAGAAGTAATCTTATAAAAATGTTAGAAACAATTCCATGAAAGGAAAAAAAAAACAAAAAACATTTGAATACTTAAAAAAAAAAGAAACAGTTCCAGAACAAATAAATAAGAAAGCCTTTCATCCACTCAATAGGTGAATCTAAATCTAGATCTCCTAATTGGATTTCTATGGTGCCCGTCACAGAAAACAATCGCATATTTGGTTTTTCGGGGTGAAGTACAAATACTTTCCCCAAACCTCAGACCTTAAAGTAATCATTGAAGTCTCGAGAGAAGCAGCTGTAAAATAAAAATTAAAAAAATCCCCAAAGGCCAAGTTACATAATGGCTTTGAGAGTACTTCTTAAAACACCGTAATTAGCTGTTGAATGGTGTTTTCATGAGTACCAATTCAACCCCTTTACCTGCAGAACAGTGGATTGGGCTTGAATCTCTTTTTTCACTGTCTCACCCCTGATGGTGACCCTCATGTGCTGGGCATGAGCCAGTTCCCACGTGTAGAATTGCCTGTGTGCCTCTGACACCCCAGATCCCGGCTTCCTCCTCCTGTAAAAGACAACAAGGCTGCAGAGCACGCCCAAGGTTATCCAGAAATAGAATCAATGCCTGTTGATTTCCCAGACTATTCGCAGCTGATCATTCTGGAGGTGCAGAAAGTACTTTTGTCACCCATTTCTCATAATTAAAGATGTTTAATTCATGCACTGTATAAAATAAGCATATGTAATAGGTACATATGTGTGAATATATGTCCATATATATAAGTAAATATATAACAAATGTGAAAAAAATTAAAATTCTTCTGTAAACCACTACTATAGATATATAGAATTATAGATATAATTCTTTATGAACTTTTCTAGTTTTCCACAGCTTTCATCTTTCCAAATGTTCCATTTATCTTAATTTTAAACATTTGTACTTTCTTAGAATAGAATTTATTACTGTATAGTAATGATTTCAAATTTTAAAATATTTTCAATCTGTAATTTTTTTTTCGGTCATGGGGCCTGAAATCTGGGCCTGGGTACTGTCCCACAGCTGTCCCACAGCTGTCCCAGAAGCTGTCTTCAGCTTAAGGCTAGCACTCTACAACTTGACCCAAGTGCCACTTCCAGCTTTTTCTGCTTATGTGGTGCTGAAGAATCGAACCCAGGGCCCCATTCTTGTGAGAAAAGCACTCTACCACCAAGCCACCTCCCCAGCCTCCTATAAATCTTTTTAAATATCATTTGCTATCTTCTTTTACATTATGTTGCAACACTAATGACTGTCATTCCTCATTTTTGTGCCAAAGCAGTAGCAAGTTTGTCATTGATTGATATAAATTATGCTCTAGTCATTACCAGTATATATCAACACCTTACTCTCTATTAATTCCCATTTTATTTAAATTTCTTTCTCTTAGTATTTCTAGTGTTCAGGCTTAAACTCAGGATTTTACACTATCTCTCAGCTTTCTTTGCTCCCAGCTGGTACTCTATTACTATGGCCATGCCTTCAGTTTTGGTGTTTTGCTGGTTCATTGGAGATAAGGGTCTTTCAAATTTGTCTACCTGGACTCAGATTAAAAACGTGATCCCCAGAGCTCAGCCTCCTAAAAAGTTAGTATTACACTGTGAGCTACCAGCACCCAAATTCTTTGATTATTTTTAAATTACTTTTGTTCATTATTTTAATATGTAGTTTTCTTTTAGTTCAAATCAAGACATTTTAGACTAAAATGCTTTGCAGTTTCCCTGAAGTATAATTTGATTGAATCCCATATTTTTGATGAATCTATTATTTTAATATGCTCCCAAACTTTTTAGTTTTAATTTCATCTTTTAATACAAGAACTGCTTTAATTTAAAATTTTAAGCACTATAATTTTCATAACTTCTCAAATTAATTTATAATTTTATTATTATGGAGGCCAGAAAATTGGACATCTATAGTTCCCTTGACCTCTCTCAAGTGCCTTAATTATTTTAGCAAGGACAAGAGAGTGAGAGTCAAATAGGTAGACTAAAGGAACATTATAAGACATAAAAGTTCTTTTCTTTCTAATATATTTTTAAAATAAGCTATTACACAAAATAGAATGTAAACCATTACATATTATGCTCTCTGTTTAATTTCTGCATCAATATGTGTCAATGAAATAAATATGCTTATTTTTCCCTCCTTTTTATTTTTTTAATTTATTGTATTGTAAAGATACTGTACAGAGGGGTTACAGCTACAGGTAATGAGCATATTTCCTGTTGAACATTATTACCCACTCCTTTGTTGTTCTCCCACTGTCCCTTCCCTTCCCTACACTTCCCCGCCCCCCTCCAGAAGTTGTTAAGTTCATTTCTAACATAGTGTCTTCTGAGTTTCATTGTTGCAATGGGTTATCCTTTGTCCTTTATTTCAGCATTTTGTTATTCTCCTTCCCTTCCCCAGATCAGATAAATGTATATACAAGATGCAGGGTACCAGAAGCAAAGACAGTGATTGCCAGCGATAAACCAATTAAAAAAGTAATAATAATATGGAATGCTTCATGCATTTGTGTCATCCTTGTGTAGGGGCCATACTAATCTTCTCTGTATTATTCCAACTTTAGTGTATGTGCTGCTGAAGCAAGCACCAAAATGTCTATTTTAATAAACTAAGATTTGTTCTGGTTTTGTTTTAAATTTTGTATACATAAAGTTCATTTTCTACTATCTAATATGAAAGTATTATAGATGTGATTAATTTTACATAGCATAAAACACTGATTACGTAGTATTTGCTGTACTTTGGAGTTAATTTTAGTATTTGCAGTTCTTCAGACCTACAGTTATACTTTTAAGAATATTTATGTTTTGTTTGTTACTTTTGCAGAACATGGTTGGAGAGTGGGCAGTACCGGAAGAATTAATAGAAAATCTACCACCCTCCAACAATAGTATATTGGGCCATGTGCTTCAGAGGCTAATAGAAAAATCTCTTCCTCCTCAAATTGAGTCAACAGAACCTGAAATACCTTCATTTGCTGTTAAAGGATGCTTACTAGGGAAAACACTGAGTGGAAAAACTAGCATTCTAAAGGCCTTACAGAAAGGTAGAACTTTGCATTTCTTTTTATCCATTATTTCTTTATGCACTATATGCAGCTGTACCAGCCCACGTCTATACAAAACTTACAAAAATCTCTGCTGATTATTTATAGAATCTCTATTTTTAATGATGGTATAACAAGATGATCCTGTGTCATATTGTCCAGGCCATACTTACTCAGGCATTACAATAAGAGAGGTAGTGACACAGGCCTCAAAATGGGTAATCTTGACAGCATTATGCTAAACAAAGGAAGCCATACACAAAAGGTCATGTCAGTTGTCATTCATATGAAATACCTCCAAATAGGCAAATCAACAGAGAAAGAAAACAACTGATATTTGCCAGAGGAATACAATAGGAGAATAGGGAGTGTTTACCTAATAGGAATGGGTTTCTTTTGGATCAATGCATTTTTTCTGGAACAATTTTGATGAATTATGAGTGTCTAAGTGCCACAAAGTCAAGTGTTAAAATGATCAGTTAATTAAATGTATGTTGTGTGCAATTTTACAGTAATAAAAAAAATCACTTTAACCTATAAGTTACTTCAAAGGGGCCCCAAATGCGGTGTTGTAGCATAAAGCCCGAGCACAAAAGCAATGTGTCAATTACCTAAATGAAAAAAAATCTTGTTTTAGACTTTCCTATTCAGGTACTTTCTATTGACACTCTTGTCCAAGAAGCCATCCAAGCATTTCATGATAAAGAACAAAGTACAGTGATGCCACCAATTCAGGAAGAGAATGAAGGACAGGCTGTACCTAGTATACAAGAAGAAACCCAGGCAAGTGTGAGTTCAATGGCTTTTGCAGCTCAGTGTACTAGAGATAGGATTCTCAGTGGAACACAGAAACCCTCTAGACAAAAGCTCTTTTCAGTAATGGTCCGGATAGTAAATAGTTTAGGTGTTATGAGCCAAAAGGCAAATCAAGAGAAAAAATTCCTGCACCCCTCACCTGCCTCCCCTTCCCCACTGGTTTTCCTGTATAGAGCATGCAGAGTGGTGGCTCACTAATTGGGAAACATTCTCCTACAGAGGATAAAGCCAGTGTCTGGTGGATGAGCGTGGATAGTGATTGAACTACAGGCTTAGGAGGACGGGATATGGGTCTGCTGGGGAAACTGATGTCACTGACTTCAGGCTAGGATCCCACAAGTCAGTCCTTAACCACTGCTAACATTGAGGTTCCCATCCTGTAGTTGGAGACTAATGCAGGCCCTAGGCCAGACCAAGGCAGTGGATAAGACAAGTACTAGAGCCAAGCAGAGACAAAGATAGAGGGGGAATCTTGGATTAGTCTCCAGGGTCCCAAAGGTAGGCCACTTGAATGATGTCTTGGGCCATACAAAAGACTTGGTTTGATAAATTTCACTCACAATGATAATATACTAATCCATGATGCAGTGTAACAGGGTATAGGAGTGGAGGGAGGCTCTCTATAGTATTTATGCAACTCACAGGTACATCATTTACTTCCATCATATTTCTTTCAGCTTTGCATCTCATTTCATTGTTGCATGATGATTCTGAGGGGATTGAAGGGACAGAAAAAGTTTATCCCATTTTGAGAATCATTGAGGTTTTGACACCTTATTTTGCTATGTGGTTTACTATAAACTCGTGTTTGTCTCATCAGGTTCCATTTTATTTTCAAAATAGCAGGTGTATTTTATAGAGAAAATGAAAGCCATTCAAAAGATAGGCTGTAACACAAGTTACTGAACACCACTATATAAGCAATTTTGTTTATGGAAATCATCATTTGAGTCTAATTAATGTCATAGATAAAATTGCATATTTTATATTAATTCCCTACCTAGAGATACACAATTAAGAACTTTATGAAGATATAACAATGTTAATCGCTCCCTCCCTTCTTCTTTTCTTCTCTACCATCCCTCCTCTCTTCCTTCTTGTTTGTCTCTCTCTCTATGCTTCTGTCTCTCTCTTTCTGTTTTCTCCCAAAAGGATTCACAAAGTCCACAAAATATATTATCCGCTGGTCCAGTTTCAGGTGGAGCATTACCAGTAACAGAAGGTAAAACTTTAAAACGTTAAATCACCTAGACTGTACAGTAGACAGATAGACAAACATGTGTGAGCACAAGCATGCTCTCAGAGAGACGAGACGGGGCAGAGTTGCACAGTGGTCTACAACACTGCAGAGACTGCGACATAACTCTTATGTATAACTAAGGATAAAGGTGAAAATTACCTAAGAATCCTTTTGTTCCCCTCCTTCAAATAGTGGTTCAGGTTTGTGCTTAGGAGAGAGCAGCCAAGATACATCATCCTCACTCTCCTGCTTTTGCACTCCTTCCTGTACCTCATTGTTTCTCTCCCCTGTACACGTCTGTGTGCAAGTCATATGGGAACTCTGTGGGCTGGTGCTCTGCATTGCATTGAGGGAGTTTGTAGAGTCTGGCTCCTCAGCCCACAAAGACAGTGACTCCTTTGGCCAAAAGCAAATGTATTAGGCCAGCTCTGGTGGCTTTCTCCTGTAATCCTAGCTACTCATAAGGCTGAGATCTGAGGATTGCATTGAAGCCAGCCCTGAAAGGAAAGTCTGTGAGACTCATCTCCAATTAATCACCATAAAACTGGAAATGGAGCTAAGGCTTAGTGTGGTAGAGTGCTAGCTTTGAGCAGAAAAGCTCAGAGATAGCATCCAAGCCCTGGGTTCAATCCTATGATAGAACAAAAAAAAGTAAATTTATTCTCAATCTTAAACTCTGCCATTAAGACCAAGTTTTTGAGCCTAATAATCTCCTTAATTTTTTTAGATCCTTTGTCGATTCATTGAAGGAAAATATTTTTTAAGTGTAAAATGCTTTGGATTAAAAAAAATTATGCTAGTGAAGACTTTTTCATTAGAAACATCTTCCTCATATTTTACTACAAAGCACAGATCTTCTCAGGATTTAGCATTACTTTATTGCCATCTAACTGGGGTGAGGTGGTATCTCACTGTTGTTTTGATTTACATTTCTTTTATGGCTAGGGAGGTTGAGCATTTCTTCATGAGTTTATTGGCCATCCTTCTTTCCTCTTCAGGGAAGTTTCTCCATAAGTCTTTAGCCCACTTATTTATTGGGCAGTTGTTTCTTTGAGGATTTGTTGTTGGGGGATTTAATTTTTTGAGTTCCAGGTATATTTTAGATATAAGACCCTTCTTCATTGTATGGCTAGTGAAGATCTTCTCCCAATCCATGGGCTTTCTATTGCTAGCTATGTCCTTTGCCATGCAAAAGCTGTGCAATTTCATGCAATCCCATTTTGTCCAACCTTTCTTTGATTTGTTGAGTTTCTGGGTCTCTATTAAGAAAATTTCAGCCTGTGCCAAGGAGACCTAGAGTTTCTCCTATTCCATCCTGTAATGTTTTCAGAGTGTCTGCTTTGACTCTGGTGTCTTTGATCCATTTGGAGTTGATTCTGGTGCAGGGTGATATATAAGGATCTAGCTTTAGTTTTCTTCAAGTGATTAATCAGTTTTGCCAGCACAATTTACTGAAGAGGCTGTCTTTCTTCCATTCTATTTTTTTAGCTCCCTCATCAAAGATTAGATGACTATAGGTTTGTGAGTTCATTTCTGGGTTTTCAATTCTCTTCCATTGGTCCTAAGGTCTGTTCTTGTGCCAGTACCAAGCTGTTTTGATTCCTATAGCTTTGTGGTAGAGTTTGAAATTTGATATTGATATTCCTCCAGCACTGTTCTTTCTCTTAAGAATCATTTTTGCTATTCAGGGTCTTTTATTGTTCCATATGAATTTTTGGATTGCTTCTTCTATTTCCTTGAAGAATGAGATTGGAATTTTGATAGGTATCGCATTGAATTTGTAGATAGCCTTGGGAAGTATTGCCATTTTCACGATGTTGATCTTTCCAATCCAGGAGCATGGGAGGCTTTTGCCACTTTCTAAGTTCTGTTTTGATTTCCTTTTTCAGGTTTTTAAAGTTTTCATCATAGAGGTCCTTCACTACTTTGGTTAAGTTAATTCCTAGGTATTTTATTTTTTGTGGGGCTATTATGAATGGAGTTGCTTTCCTGATTTCAGCCACACTTTACTCATTGTTGGCATACAGAAAAGCCATTGATTTTTGAGGGTTAAGTTTAAAACCTGCTACTTTGCCAAACTTTGAATCAGCTTTTGTAATTTGGGAATGGAGTCCGTGGGATTCTTTAAATACAAGATCATGTCATCTGCAAAGAGGGAGAGTTTTACTTCTTCTTTCCCAATTTGGATCCCCTTTATGTTTGCATCTTGTCTTATTGCTGTAGCTAGGCATTCTAATACTAAATTGAAGAGAAGTGGAGAGAGTGGACATCCTTGTCTTGTTCCTGAGTTAAGAGGAAATGGCTTTAGTTTTTTACCATTAAGTATAATGCTGGCTGCACGTTTGTCATATACAGCCTTTATTGTATTGAGGAATGTTCCTTGGATTCCTAGTTTTTCCAGAACCTTCATCATAAAAGATTGTTGGATCTTGTTAAATGCCTTTCCTGCATCTATTGAGATAACCATCTGGTTCTTATCCTTGCTGTTGTTGATGTAATGAATTATATTAATTGATTTATGTATATTAAACCAGCTCTGCATCCCTGAAATGAATCCTGTTTGATCGTGGTGTATGATTTTTTGGATGAATTGTTGAAGTCAATTGGCAAAAATTTTGTTGAGAAGTTTTGCATCAATGTTCATCAAAGAAATGGGGCTATAGTTCTCTTTTTGATGAGTCCCTGCCTGGTTTGGGGATGAGGGTTATGATGGCTTCATAGAATGAATTCAGTAGTGAACTTTCTCTTTCAATTTCATTGAAGAGTTGAAGGAGTATTGGCATGAGCTCTGCTTTGAAAGCCTTGTAGATTTCTGCTGTAAATCCATCTGGTCTTGGACTTTTCTTAGATGGGAGGTCTCTTATTGCTGTTTCTATTTCATTGCTTGCTATGGGCCTGTTAAGATGGTTTAACTCATCTTGGTTTAGTTTCGGCATGTCAATATTTGCTAGGAAAATTCTGCCAAGTTCTCAAACATTAGCATAAAGGTTTGAGAAGTATTCCCTTATAATGTTCTGAATCTTATTTGTTTCTGTGGTGGTTTCCATTTTCATCTCTGAGTTTATTTATGTGGGTGTGTTCTCCTCTTTTTCTGATAAGATTTGCTAAGAGTCAATTTTGTTAATTTTTTCGAAGAACCAACGCTTTGATTTGTTTATTCTTTCTTTGTTTTGGGGGGAGTTCTAATTCATTTAATTCTGATTTAATATTAATTATTTCTTTATACTGGATTGGGGTTTATCTTGCTATTCTTTTTAAGGAGGCTCAGCTGTCTCATTAAATTGTTGATTTCAGATCTCCTCAATTTGTTGATGTAGGAACTCAGAGCTAGAAACTTGCCTTTGCTGTGTCCCTGAAGAGCTGGTAATTTGTGTGTTCATTTTTGTTGAATATCATGAATATTTGAATTTTGTTTCTAATTTCTTCCATGACCCACTCATGATTCAACAGTGTGTTGTTCAGCCTCCATGAGTTATAGGACTTTCTTGGTTGCTTTTGGTGTTGAGTTCTAAATTTATTCCCTTGTTGTCTGAGAGAATGCAAGGTATAACTTCAATGTTTCTGAATTTGAACAAGTTTGCTTTGTGACCTAAAATGTGGTCTATTTTGGAAAATGTTCCATGTGCTGCTGAGAAGAATGTGTATTCTGATGCTGCTGGGTGAAATATTCAGTAGATGTCTGTGAAATCTAGTTGATCTATGCAGTTGTTTAGATCTGTGGTTTCTCTGTTGAGTTTTTGCCGAGTTCATCTATCTAGTGGGGAGAGTGGTGTGTTAAAGTCCTCAACAATTAATGTCTTTGGATCTATGTGAGATTTGACGGGAAGTATTGTTCTTTGATAAATTTGGGTGCTCTGCTGTTTGGCAAATAGATATTTAGAATTGTAATATCCTCCTGAAGGAGAGATCCCTTAATTAGTATGTGGTGTCCTTCTGTATCTCTCCTCACTAATTTTAATTTGAAGTCTCTTTTATCTGATAGCAGGATTGCAACTCCTGCCTGTTTATGGGGGCAGTTTCCTTGGTAGATTTTGTTCCAGCCCCTCATTTTCAAAATATATTCATTTTTTTATGGGCAAGGTCTGACTCCTAAAGGCAGCAGATTGAAGGATCTTGCTTTTTAGTCCAACTAGATAGTCTATGTCGCTTAATGGGAGAATTATGTCCATTAATGTTGAGAGTTAGAACTGAGAGGTGTTTGGTAGTTCCTGCCACGTTATCCACCTTCTTGGGGACTACAACTGGGTTCTTTCTATGGTTTCTATGGTTCTTGGATTCTCAGTTTGGATGCGGTTTCTTGGCCTTTAATGTGGTCTTGTTGGTTTTCTATGTGTAGGACATCTTTAAATATCTTTTGTAGGGCTGGTTTGGTGGAGATGTATTGTTTCAGTTTTTCTTTGCTATGGAAGGTTTTTATTTGACCTTCGTTTAGAAGGAAAGTTTAGCTGGGTACAGTATTCTTGGTTGATAGTTGTTTGTCTTTAGGACGTGGCATCTATCATTCTAGGGTCTTGCTTTAATAGTCTCTGCTGAGAAATCTGAGATGATTCTAATTGTTTTCCCTTTATAGGTGATTGGTCTTTTCTCCTTGACAGCTTTAATGATCTTTTCCTTGGTCTGAATTGATCCTGTGCAGATTATAATGTGATGGTGGGATGTCCTATTCTAGTCTGGTTTATTTGGGGTTCTAAAAGCTTATTGTATCTGAATAGGCCTATCTTTTTGCATGTTTGGGAAGTTCTCTGCTAGGATCCTGCTAAACAATTTTCCTAGACCATTAACTTCTGTCTCTAATGGGTGTTCCTCTACACCCATTATCCTCAGATTAGGTTTTCTGATGGTATGTTCCAAATGTTGGTCATATTTCTTGGACTTGTCTTGGATAGTTGTATGTTTTCTCTATAATATCTAGGCTGTCTTTAATCCCTGAGATTCGATCTTCTGCATGGTCTAACCTACTGTCAAGACTTTCTACTTTGTTTTTTATTTCTTTTCCTTCCAATTGGTCGGCTTTGATGGCTTCAAATTCTTTGTTGGAGCTTTGTTTTAGATCTTGTATGAACTTCTTTACTTCCTTAATTTGGTGTTCAGTGTTTATTCTCAAATCACTTAGTTGATGCTTATTGTTTCCTTGGACTCCCATTCCTTCTGTCAGGCTCCATTCAGCATTCCATTTGTGGTCACCCTGAATTCTTTCAGCTGTCTGTTTATGGATTCCATAAATGCCTCTATTGATCTTTGTCTATTCTCATCCCGCTCTCGCAATTCCTGTATTACTCTTTGATTAGCTTCTTCACGTTCACCCAATTCCTGTCTTTCTCTTTGATTGTTCTTAGCCGGCTCATGCAATTCCTGTCTTTCTCTTTGACTGTTATCAGCCTGCTCACTCAATTCCTTTATTTCTTTTTGACTGTTCTCCACCTGTTCATGCAATTCCTGTATTAATCTTTGAGTAGCATCCTCATGCTCATGAGATTCCTGTATTAATCTTCGGTTTGCCTCCTCTCTCTCCTTATCATGCTCACACTGAGTCTTTCCAGGTTTTCAATCTTTTCATTCACCATGTTTACCAGTAGTGTTTGTAGAGCTTTTGGGGAAGTCTCCTCTGGATTATTTATTAACTGTTCTGTCACCTGATTATCATGAGTGGGAGTTGAGATATCCAGACTTGCCATTTTTCTTGTTTTTCTGGCTTGTTCTGTCCATTTGGTATGAAAGTAACACCAATGTTGTGCTAGAACACTGTTTTAAGGCAAGCATCCACCAGAGTCCTGTAGTTGCACAGTCAAAATGGCTGCAGATACAGTCTAGTTCAACAGATACAATGTATTCAACATCAAACAACTATGGATTAATGGGCAAGAACAGCAAAGAAGGATTTGGCAAATCAGAAATTATTAGGTTTAGGGTGAAATTTGGGGGAAAATAGGATTAGAGAAATGTGGAGAGGTAAAAGGAGAGTGATTTTAACCAAGTCCTATCTCAGAGAGGGAAATGGATTGGACAGAATGATAGAAGAGAGATTTTTTAAAAAACAAACAAGAAAAAGTGGAAAAACAAAAATTTAAATTTAAAAAGTGAAACGCTTAAAAATTAATATAAGTATAAAGAAATGATATAAAATTCTTAAAATTAGTTACTTGAAAATCATATAGGTATAAAGAGATAATACTGCTATTAAAGAAGTTAAGCCTAAGAGGATGTGAATTTAGTAATACATTTCTGGATTAAGTATGTACACAATGGAGGATAAGGTGTAATAATTGATGATGGGTATATATCTGGGGATGACCAGAACAACAATTAAGTCCCGCAAAAAAAGAAAGAAATGAAAAGAATAAACAACAACAACAACAAAGGACCAAAAGGTCAAAAGAGATTTTTTTAAAAAGCACACACACACACATACACCCAGATACCTAAAATAAAAATTATAAGAGAAAAAAAGATTAATAGAAAACAATTAAAAAATAAAAATTTAAAAAATGCTTCAAAAAAGACTTCTTTTATTTTTTTTGGGGGGTGGGGTAGGGAGGATGGGAAGATCCTGTATCTCCCCTGTGTCCATAACCAGCAGTTATTTCATTTCTAAATAGATCATTTCAGTGTATTTTCATCAATTTTGTAAATGTTTTATTACATTTTACTACAAACTGAAAACACCCTATGTTTTCCATAAAATTTCACTAAATTCTCCTCTGACTCCTGCTGCAGTTGTTGGGTTTATGGATGTGTTTATTATCTGTAGCTTGGTAAACCAGAGAAAAGTGCAAAAATATTTTAGAAAAGTTTTTGAGAAAGGGGTTACAGTTACATGAGTAGGGTAATGAGTACATTTCCTATTGAGCATTATTATCTCCTCCTTTTTTCTTTTTTTTTAATTGTGAAAATACCGTACTGAGTGGTTACAATTACATGGGCAAGGTAACGAGTGCATTTCTTATGAAGCGTTCTGGTTTTGTGGGAAAAAAAATCTATGTTAACCAATATCTAATGGTTTGTGATGAGGTCAGTTCCTGCCAGAAGGAAGGAAGTGGAACCCGTCAAGGCAGGCAGTGACTGAGATCCTAATGCTATAGAATGGAAGTGAACACTTGGCTCTGTTGATTCTAGTACTTCCTGACTCCTGGCATCTCATTCATGGTTGGATCTCACTACCCTTATAGTCAAAACCAAGAAGGCGCAAACCCTTTCATGGATTATGAGGCAGAGGCACTTAAGGTCTGTTCTTACTAGCTTGTCTATTACTAGGTACTGATGCTGATATAATACCAACACCTGACGAAAATGGTTTCTCAAAAGTAAGTATAACATCTATTTTTGAGTGCTGATCTTCTTAGTGACTGTACAAAATTTGTGAATAATCTAGAAATAAAAAGTTTATAACAAATCTTTCAATATTGTTTTGAAAGGAAGTTAGTACTTCAATAAATACTATTGCTTTACTATATTTTGAAGCACATTTTATCATTAAATAATCAGATTAATCATATAGGACTCCATTTACTTGCATTCCATTTGATTACCTTTATTTTGCACTTCATGATATACAATAATTTTTCAATCTTTCCAATTTTAAACTTGCTAAATATGGAAAACTTGGAAAAGTCTAAACAATGAACATGGTGACTAATGGAGAGTAAAGCAGGTTTAGAAATAGCGATAAAGATGGGGTTGCCATTTTACTAAATTTGAAATATGAATTAGCAGAAAGACTTTTATGGTGATACAAATGACATATTTGGCACAAAAGGAGATTTGTTAAGTAGAGAAATAACATGATTTGATATATATACTCCAGTGGCTGAATTCAGATATAGGCACTGGAGAAGTCTCTGTTCTAGTAACACTATAGAACTTGTTTCAAACTAATACCCTGATTAATAACAATTATAAACTCTACCAAATGAAGGGTAATAAAATAAAAATAACCCACAATTAAGCATCCAAAATCAGACTGAAAATGACTGGCACTTGGTCAATGAAAGAAGAGAAGTTGACTGGACAAAAGCCATATGTTGCTGGACATGAGTGGCTAGAGCTCATTCTTTCTGGTTAAAAGTATGAAGATAAAGTTTGGTGTATGTGTGCAGCTGAAAATTTAAAAAGGAGATCTTGGAAGAAGCAAGAGAGAAACTCCAAAAATGTTTCAAAATCAGCACACAAATTTTCCTTAAATGTTTACCTGAGTCCAGAATTGTGCTAAAATGCTCAGTGATTTCATCAGAGAGAATGACTATTTAATTGCTTCCCCTGAAATCATTGCAAATTTAACTTTTAAACTGCCTTTATTTTAGCATTCCTTGTTTTGTTTAGCTTTGTTTTGCTTTTCACAGCTCAGTGTGCGTGCTCAGCTTGGTGAACAATCAGAGCAATTGCTGAAGAGAGGAAAAAGCATTCCAGACTCATTGCTAGTTAGCATCATGGTGAATGCTATTAGGTATGTACTTCATTTTTCTTTCTAATATCCACGTGATGTTTGAGTATAAGAGTTAGAGAAATAAAGTTTTTATGTTTTTGATGTCTAATGTATTTAAACATACAGTAAGACATATCTATATAGATTTGTATGCCTGTATTTAAATTTCTTCTCCCCTTACTAACCTTGACATCTTTCATTTTGGTGTTGATTTAAATAAGGTTCTCTTGCTTTGGGAGAATTGAGACTGGATAATCAGGAGAAAAGAAAGAAAGAAAAGAAAAAACAATAAAAAAAAAAACAAAAAAAAGAAAAAGAAAAAATATAAAAAAGAATAAAGGAGCAGGTTGTAGAGAAGAGTGATCCTATCCATATGATCACAGGGGTCACTGTATTCCCTCATTTAGTATCTGAGGAAGAGAAGTTAGCAGCTGAGCCCCGGGACCCAAAAGCTGAGCAGTGCTGGGATAGGCAGCTGCAGAGACAGAGTAATATAAGCATGGTTCAGAGTACAGGTGTAACAGGGGATTATAAGAAAAAGATCCAAAATAGCCAATCACTTTATAATCTCTGTTGTCCTTTTTCACAGTTTTCCTTTTGTTAATCTAGAAATGGGGGAGGGATATAAGGAGCCAAATGATGTGTTTCATAAAGGAATAAATCCTGGCAGGAAGGAACACAAAGATTTAAAAGCCTTCTGTAAAATAGTTTTGGAGGGCTTTGAAGAAAAGTAAAAATGATTAGCTGTGATATATGGGAAAAACTAAGATTAGAAGAAATGAGATTTTAGAGAATTTTCTTTGAATTGTGCATCTGGAATGGACTCTCCTTTGTGTCTTCTTAAAGGATTATACTAAACATTTAAATTGCTTCTCAGTTATGATGTTTCTAGAAATTGTACCACAGAGCCTCTGTCCTAAGAACTACAAAATATCTCATTCTTGTTGGTAAAATGGAGGGAAATGGAAAAGGAATAGGCCAGACTCAATCTTCAACAAGCGAGGACTGTTTATTGAGGAACAGCAAGGGGCAGAGACCTTCCCTCGGGTTTGGAGGTCCTACATGGGACTGAATTTTGGAGTGGGCTTATATAGGGCTTAACAATGACGCAGAGAATAAAAAAATAAGATCAAGGGCAATGTCCTTGGCCAGGTCCCACAGTGGAAGCTGGGTGTGGGGCTATCATCTCCTGAGGGCCAAGGTCGGAATGACCTGCCTGCTGACAAGCACGTGAGCACACACCTGCTTTGCTTGACCCTGGGGAATAAGGCAGGACTCAGTCCTTCCCATTCCATCTTTAGATACATGAAAAGATTGGGCCTAGAGGGGAGAGGCAGATCCTTCAATTGTAATAATTTCTAACATTTCTCAGAATAGTCATATGTTTTAGCTATGGAATTCTTTGTTCATAGAAAAAAATGGGTACACATGACATCATACATAAAGCATCTCTTCACTTTGGTGTCAGTATGTTAACTGGACAATTTGAACCCCATCATTAGAGCCCATTTCCCTAACACCACTACCACTAACACCAGCATTACAACCACTACCACCATTCTACTGCTCCTGAAGCACCTCCATAGGACTCTCAGTAGCTTTGAATCTTTTGACCTAGTCCAATGAAGAAAGAAATGTAAAGTGTCTCTGCTATGTATCTGGTGGTGGGGAGGCTGAATCCCTGATATCTGAGGTCCTCACTCTACAACTGAACAAACATGGCCCTTACCTGCCCTTCTCTCTGAGGTGTCTCCTGAGACTATGGTTCATGCAGAGATGGTGATATCCTCAAGGAAACTCACTTTCCCTCAGAGTCCAACAAATCCAGTCTATGTAAAATGCTTCACTGAACTCTGGAGAAGTTGTAAAACAAAAAAATCTAGTTAGAGATCTGCACAAAGCTTGATTTGCAGGAAAGATCACTGAGTTAGAGCAAATAGCTCAAATAGTTCTGAAATTTTGATCAGATAATGAAATGTCTTTGGCCTTTATTTCTCTCTTCTTCCTGCCACCCTGTCAGAAGGATCATACACAGGCATCTAGGCAGACTTAGAACTTTCTGGAAAGGCGATTCTATTATTTTGTATGTGCTACAACAGAGAAAGGAGCAAAATCATCCAAAGGACAACATTTCAATTTTGCAAATTTGAAACTTGAGAAGACAATTGAAATTTATGCCCTTTTCACAATGCACTTGCCAACAAAGATAATAATTCTTGGAACACACATTCTCTTTAGAAGAAGACAGTGCTTGGGGAATATTTCAAGAAATGGTCCATATCCTTCAGAAATTTGTAATCTAAGATTTTTTTAAAAAACACTTACTTGAATTTTGAAGTTGAGAATATGTTGTTTGTGTGGTGAAATAGATGACAATCAAAGGAGCTTGGATCAGGCTGTTGTGCTTCAATGGTGGGGTGGGAAGGAGTCTTCAAGTGCTCAGTGGGAATATCCAGCCTGTGCTACTTTCTGGGCTGGGTTCGTTAAATTCGCCAGTCTGTTCATCGTCAAACCATCTAGTAGAACATGGTATGTTCTACCATTGTATAGAGGAGGAAACAGAGGTATAAGAAGAAACAGCTTATAAACACAAACTAGAACTCCCAGGTTATCCTTGCATAATGGTAGAGAGATCAATTTTTTTGAAGTAAACATTCAAAATTGTGAGAAATTAAAAGTGTTTAGGCTTATCTTGTACCCAGTTCCTTTCAAATACATATTAAGGCCTCTGGAATAGATATAAAGGGCAGCAAGGACTCACAGAAGTATTTTAAGCAAGGGAACAATTGTAGCACTTCAGTTAGCCTAATCTTTTAGCTATAAAGGAATGAAATCCATGCAGTAAGGGGGTGTTGTGAGCATGAAAGAAAGCTAAGACTCATTGTGTTCCTATTTTGTAAAGTATCTATATCTATCAAAACATTAATGGATGATCTTGTTTTAATCTAGTGAGATACCTATGCATCAAGGCTGGGTCCTTGATGGTTTTCCAATGACCTTAAACCAAGCACAGCTCCTGGAAGAAGCTCTTACGGGCTATAACAGAAGCCAAATAGAAGCAGAAAGAAAGAATACACAAATACCTACACTGGCTATTGATCCTACAACTTCCAAAGCAGTACCTCCTCCCTCTCCAGCATTTGATTTTGTTTTATTACTCGATATTTCTGATACTGCTTCACTAAATCGCCTGGGTAAGCTGGACATCTTCATCTTGACACTCCTGTTTCTAATTACACTTCTCTGTTTTCTGACTAGATCAGTGAATATTTCTGGTTACAATTGTAAGAAAGAATCCATTTAGCATTTGAGAGAATGATCTAGCTGTGCCCACTTGCCACTTGTTTGAACTGTTAGTGTGCAGCAGTAATGGCCAAGCCTGGAACTAGAGGAGCATTCCAGAGCATGGACAAGCTTCTTTCATCAAATTGACAGCTCCCCTGGCACAGAGGTTACTGTTTGAGAATTTCATGCTTAGGGGAGCTCTTTGTGGCTTTCTATTACATCTTGACATTGCTACATCATGCATGTACTAACACAAGTATTGCAAATATTTGCATGTGCATAATCCTGATGGTGATCATTAATTTATTAACCAACCAATGCCATAAACAATGATGTGGTTATACCCTTTCTTAGACGGTGTGTTAATTCTAAAAAGCAAGTTAGCAATTGGCAGAAGTCCTCACCTGGTGAGGTTGAATTTTTTTCTTTTGCCCAAATACATGATTTAACTTTTTTCATCTTCCAATCAAAAACATTAATTACTTCATTCTATAAAGTAAGTACATAGGAATTGAAATCCATATACCTGAATTATGGCTTTGCTAATTAAAAGGTATTTGAACTTCAAAAGATTTCTTCATTTCTTAATACTTTTTAAGAAAAGATCTTGCTCTGCTTCCCAGTCTGGATTCATACTTTTAGGTTTAAGTGATCCTCACCTCAGCTTCCTGAGCCTCTTGGACTACAAACTTGTACTTAGGGCTCTAAGCCTCAACATATATGATAGGGTGAATTATTATACTGCAGAGAGTATTTAATGAAGTTATAGTTAAACATTTTGGATTGATTTGACAGAAATACTGTGGAAGACTTCAAAATGAGCAACATAGTACTGACTATTAGAGAATCAAGTATTTTCTACAGGATTCTCTAAGGTATCTGATTCTATTAGGATCTGTGGCTTTCTTTGATTCTTGAATAACTAATATTGGAAGGACTACAAATGATTCTTGTTCATATCAATGCAACTGAATCTTTTCTTTATTTAAAATACCATTTTAACGTGGTTAATAAAATATTATTCCAGGTTGAGTTCAGTGATCCACATTTGTAATCTCATCTATTTAGGAGACTGATATTGGGTGGATTCTGGTCAAGGCCAGCCTGAAAATAAAGTACATATGACCTTCATCTCAACTAATAAAATACTGAGTGCTGTGATATTAACATGTTATCCCAACTACTTGGGAAACATGAAGAGGAAGATCACTTCCATGCCAGGCCAGCCTGGTGATAAATACAAGACCTCATGTGAAAAACAACTAAAGCTCAAAATACTCAATTTGTGGCTTAAGTGGTAGAGTGCTTGTCAAGCAAGCACAAGGCCACAAAATAAAAACTATTATTCCTATATTGTTCTGTCAATAGTAGCCAGTTTTTCATTTACTAATATTTTTTTCACCATTCCTGATTGTCCTTTATGCAAATTCTCATTTGAATGATTTTAGCATCTTACAAGCTCTTTCATTCATTGGAGAGTGAAATGATATCTTTGACACATGTTCATTTTACAATTGAAGGTCTTGATTATTGTTTTCTTTAAAACAGAACTATCCTTTGATTAATGGTAGCATTTATTATTATTTTATCTGTTACTACTAACACAAAACAGAACTGGGAGAGAATTAAGTGATCATAAAACCTTTGATTTATCATATAGTCACACAGTCTGTTATTTGTAGACTGCAATTTAAAGCATGAGTACTTGACTTAGCAAAGGTCACACTAATCTTTATTTGGGGTTTGTGTAGTTTGAGATCTTTTTTGGGGGGAGGGGCTCCGGTCGTGGGGCCTGAACTCTGAGCCTGGGCACTGTCCCTCAGCTCTTCAGCTCAAGGCTAGCACTCTACCACTTTAGCCACAGCGCCGCTTCTGGCTTTTTTTCTTTTTGCTTATGTGGTGCTGAGGAATCGAACCCAGGGCCTCATGCATGCAAGGCAAGCGCTCAACCACTGAGCCACCTTCCCAGCTCTAGTCTGAGATCTTGTATTCATTGTTTACCTAAATAATATGACAAAACCATTAGATAATCGAAGCCAGTAGTTTAAACTGTCCATCATCTCCAAAAAGAGAAGTCACTTCTGTCTGTGCAAAGGATTAGAAACATGCTTATCTGTTATTTCATCTCACTTCTTGTACCTGTCTGGAGATCTCTGAGGACTGGCTGAGAATCCTGTCAGTCCATAGCCACTGGGTGACATAACATGATCCAGAACCTCTTGATCAATCTGACCTGAAAGTGGATTTGACAATTCTAAATTGTATACACAGTCTGTTGAATGAGAAGGTTCACACCAGGGTATTGAAATGTTTTCTATCATTGTAGAGCTCTGAATGATGCATATTCTATGCTTCAGAAACAAAAAAAAATCAATGGACAAGAATTTTTCAAGAAATCCAATTTTGAGTTCTCACAATTTTCTATCAAAACTACATGATGAATGACTAGCATATTTGCTAAACCTGGTACTGCCATCCTAATTTCCTCATTTTGGACCCTTGATTTATAGCTAGGCTTAAAAATGTTTTTCACTGCTCTAGGGAGAGTTTTATGTACTTAGATACCTGAAAAACCTTATTAAGCTACTCCCAGAAGTTTGTCTTAAAATACAATGTGAATTTTTTCCTTTCTGTCTTGTATAGCAAGTGCAAGCCCCAAGTTTAAACTGAAGTATCACTAAAGTACTTAACTAGCAAAAATGAAAAAAAAATGAAAGATTTATTTTCCCAATCACATTGTTTAAGGATGTCAGTGGCTGCCATATTGACAGCATTGATATGGAATATTTTCATCACCTCAAAAGATTCTCCTGGACAGCACGGGCTAGAGTGATGGGAATAAAAATGGATCACTAGTAAACTACTATTTTTAATACATTAAGCCCTGGTAATATAAAAATCAAGGATAAGTCTCCATTCTCCAGTATTCTAAAAGTTAGTGTGAGGAGAAACAAAGTAAGTTAATTATGATTGTAGTTTGTCATGTGCTGTAACAAACGTGCCCACATGGGGAGAGGTAGCCGGGCTGAAAGGGGAACAAAGAAGAGAGAAAGACATTTTTAATTTGGGAGACATTTTACAGTGAGAGTAAAGCAAATGTATTTAGAAGTGCCTAACTAAAGCAGAAGATAGACAGAGAGTAGTGGTTTTCCTAAGTGAATAGATGGAAGTTTACTAGACATAGTTGTAAAAATTTCCCTTCCAGACCAGGAGGAGCCTGTCCAACCGTGGCAGCTCCGTCATTAAGATAAGCAACAGCCTACTGTCATAAAGTTGAACATCACAGGGAATCCAAGTGGGCTGCAAAGGTTAACCAAGACAGGCAAATGATCTAAAGTGAAAGCAAACAAGAAGGAGACCACAGAGACGTAAGAAGAACTAGCCAATAAGAAAGTGGCTGTGTTATGGAAGGTAGATAGCTATCTGTTCAGCTAATGCCTTATGGAATATGGTCAGCCTGAGAAGGAGCAGCAGTGCACTTATATGAGAGGTACTAAATTGAGGCTCTGGATGCTAATAGTGGCTGAAAAGGTACATGATGTTTGTCTCTTAATTTAGATTCTATTTCCAGCTTATTAATTCATCAAGCTCCATATTCATAGATATATTTTTGAGCAGATATGATTGAATAAAAGGCATAAAAGTTAAAATAAAAATCCAAATTCTGGATTTATATTGATTCTCCACCATTATTAAAGTGTGATTTAGGACCAACTACAAAATTTCAACTCTACTTCATAAATTTGGTTGTGAATACAAATATATGTAAAAGCATGTAAGCATTGCATGCTGAATTCTACTTACTAATTTCACATACACAAATCAAGTAAGATAAGGACTGAAATACATCCATTGGCTTTGCAATTTTTTATGGCAATAATGCCATTTGAGTTGGAGGGAAGGATAGATTATGGTTGGATAAGGCACCAGTGGGAGATGAAGAGGAAGAAAGTAAGTGGAGGTAACTTTCCAGAACTTATCTCTGAAGGAAAGAGGAAAGCGTGGGACAGGGTATTTGTAATTTATATTTTTTGTTAACTCACAGTTTTCTTTCTCTTTCTTAGTTCACTTTAGCAAAATGTACACACACACACACACACACACACACACACACATGCACACACACACACACACACACATGCACACACACACACACACACACATATTGAAGAGCTCAGCTGATTTTTCAGCTAGGTAATTAGTTATGTCTTTTTCTGCAAGAACGCCAACCACAGTGTAATTCTGGAGAAGAAAGATGAATTTTACTAATAGGAGGACACACAAATTTAAGTGTCGGTGAGAAAAGAGTTTGAAGTGTTGGCCCATGTAATTTAGGTTTACTAGAAAATTAAGACATACAACACTGGTAAATTTTGGGCAAAGGATGTAAGAATTTAGAGACTGGATGCTGTTCCAGAGGTCCACCAGCTACACAGGAGTGGAAGAAGAATCCATGTTTGGGGTAGGACTATAGAGTCCTGAAATACAGTGGCCATTGCAGTGAATGCTGGAAATAGAAAGGCTAATGGCTGGATATGAGTGTGAGAAAAAGAAATCTAAACCATGTACTGATTTTCTTGTCAAAAATGATGTAAGGACCATAAGACTATGCATGGTTACATCTCTCAAGACGCTCCACATTTTTTTTTTCCAGTCATCCTCTCTGCAGATGGGGAACTCCTGATTATTCTTTCCTGAATGCTTGATTACTACTCATGTTCTTTTGTTTTGAGTAATCCTTTTAATCTAGTTCAATGTGTTGTCCCTGGCTCTGGGGGTAGTAGGATTTATAAATAACCACTACTCAGAATTCTAAGTGCATTTCATCCTGTTTTTTTTTTTTTTCATGAATGTAGATGGAGAAAAAATGATTACTACCAAATATGTGTCTTTCATTCTTGAATGTTATTAATTCACATTTCAACTTTTTTTTTGCTTTGAGTAAAGCTAACTCCTTTTACTCTTTTCTCTTTACCCTTTTCCATTTATTCTAAAATTTTGAGAATTCTGTTTTTTGTATCATTTTACCTAGAGTTTTTTAAATCTTTTTTGGTACCTTGCCATCTACTTTTCTAATCTATATAGAAGTTATAGGTCAAGAAAGAGACAAATTATTTTATGGCAGTAATTATTTTGCGGTAATATTAAATATTTTAAGCATATTGGACCTCATGGCCCCCTTAATATTTCATTCTTAATTTTTCTCCCCAGTGTTGGTTTTCTTTCTTCTTAGTTTGTTGGCACATTTTATCCTAATTAGTTTACTATTAAATCAAACTTTTGAGGGTAAGAGGTCCCTGTTATAATGGACCTATTAAGATGCTACAGAAACTAAGAAAAAGTTAAAAGAATCAAGTGACAAATTCTCTAAGCTCCAAGAAGCGTGCTCAAATTCCAACTGGAAAAAAATCATTCATTGCATATAACTAGGTTATAAAAATGGGAAGGTGTGGAGGGCATACCACACTTTTCTGGTGAACCTATATTTGTTACAATTAAGATGATGAGCACAACACAAAGTGGCCACTCTCCTGAGATAGGAGATGTTTTTCTAGTTCTTGATTGGTTTGTCCCAAAAGCAGATGCCAAAATTCTTTTTTAATATATATTTTTATTGTAAAGATACTGTACAGAGGGATTACAGTTACATGAGTAAGGCAATAAGTCCATTTCCTATAGAGCATTGTTAACCCTCCTCTATTTTTCCCTTACCATCCCTTTCCTCTCTACCTCCCCAATCCTCCCTCCTCTCCTGCCTCCCATAAAATTCATTTTCAACATACAGTCTTGTACATCTCATTGTTACAGTGGATCAACCTGTATTCTTATTTCATCATTTTGTTATTTCCCTTCCTCTCCCCAAATTAGAAAAATGTATATACAAGATGCAGAACACTGGTATCAAATACAGTGATGACAGGGGTTGTACCATGGGGGAAGATTTTACATACATAGTACATTATACGTACATTAAAAAGAACAGCAACGAACATAAAACCTTTTGTGTCCCTATCTTGGGGTTCATTTTGCTTAGCATCAGGTTAAAAGCCCACGGATTGGGAGAAGATCTTCACTAGCAATCAAAGGACAAAGGGTCTCATATCTAAAATATACTTAGAACTCAAAAAATTAAATCCCCCAACAACAAATCCTCAAAGAAATAATTGCCTGATTAATAAGTGGGCTAAAGACTTAAAGAAAGACTTCTCTGAAGAGGAAAGAAGAATGGCCAATAGAAACATTTGCCAAAATTCTACTCACAGCAAAGGAACCAGGGAGCTGATTTTCTTTGCCTTTGACTTGAAGGTGCCAATCAAAAGAAGCACTCTAGTTCTTTCTCTTATACTTTCTAGCCTGTAACTTAATTTCGGATATCTCAGCATTCTTCTCTTACCAACAGAAGCTTCCAGATCCATCGCAGCTACTGTTTAATGTATTTTTACCTCATTCTTCACAAACTTTAAGAAACGAATCTTACATTTTTGTGCCCAAACTGTATTTGTTCATTATTTTGTAAAACATCTTATGTATCATATTATCTTTAAGTTGTGTACAAAAGAGTTTCAATTCAACATATTATGTTATGTGTATAGTGCATCTTAATGTGACCTCTTTCATCATTCTCCCCGTGAAGCATTTTTAAGTAGTATCAATGATGGAACTGTACCTACTTGTCACTTTAGCAGTGAGTAGCAAATTTGACTAGTTTAGAAAATGATCTAATTGAGTAAATTTTATATCATAGCTGAAGATATTTCACATGAAATTTCTCAGGAGGACATTGATCAACATGGAGCTGCCGAAACCCATAAGGAAAGGGACCAGAACTTAAAAGACCAAATACAGCATAGGTGAGCTTTATATCAAGTACTCTTCTTTGAAGAGACTAACCATTAACCTCTAGGGGAAAATATTTCATCATTTTCAGTCTTTTTTAGGTAAGAACCAACTAAATATTTTTGATATTGAGGCAAATATTTATGTGGTACCTTTCACATTGTTATCAAATGATTTTAAACTGAGGAAAGAAGTCAGTCAGGCAACATTTTGCTTTATCAGGGCATGGACTTGTAAGTTAACTATTTGGAATTTGGAGGTCACTAAAGAAATGTCAGGGAAGATCCTGAAACTCCTAGGAGCTGGACATAAGACTACACACTGTAGTTCTACTTCTATATTGCTAAAATAAAGTTATGTTTCATTCTTTGGGTTGCGTGTCCACTCAGATGAACATAGACAATTTATGAAACTCAGAAATCTAAAACTGAGGAAGAGTAATTTAAGCTACATTAGTCTAGCTACTCTCTAGAAAGAAAAAATAGTTTCAAGAATAATTCCAAGAATACTTTTGAATAAAGTCTGAACAGTCCGTAGTCACTCACCTCTTTATTTCCTATCTCCAAGATGAGGCTCGGAGTTACTCTATCATTAGAGCAGATGCTTTCATCATGGTCATGCTTAATGTCTCTTCACTCAGCTATTTCATTCAGTATGAGATATTCAGATAATATTTTGATTTTTTGGCAGGATTATAGGCTTCTTGGACAACTGGCCTGCATTGGAGCGCTGGTTCTCAGAGCCAGAAAATATTTTGATAAAAATCAATGCTGAAACTGATAAAGAATCTTTATGTCAAAATGTGAAAGAAATTTTTACAGTTGAAATTGACAAAAAAAAGAAGAAAGGTAACTATACGTCTTTAGATTTCTGAGTGTATATAACTACAATGTGTGGTTTAATGAGTTTAAGAGAAAAAGAAAATATGACTACAAAATTTTCTCTTATATTGTACTTATAAAATCTACATGTGTATACCTCTGACTTTAGGTTTCTGAACAAAATATATCTTTCTCTTCCTTTTAAATTAATTTAATACAAAAGAGGCCATCTCATTAAAAACATTAATTCATGTTTAAAAAAATAAGTAACAAATATCAGAATTAAAATTAAGGATAATTAAAATGAAAATTAACTATAAACCATGAATATAAGCAATCTATTTATTTATTAGCTACCTTAAAATAAAATATTAAAAATTGAGAATGCAAAAAGGAGAAACAATTTAACTTTGCTAACTTCAGCATTATTAGGAGACAGTATGTGAATTTTCAAATTATGATGGAGACATTAGGCAATTAGTTTTTCCCAAATCTACCTATTTGGATGTGAGTTAATTCTTTCTTCCATAGTCATTTCCATGGTATATTTACATTATAGTAAATCTGCTGTACCTTCTTCCTCTTCATTCAACCAACCAAAAAACAATTACCCATTAATTCTTCTTTTTAAAAATTGCTTTAGTTGAATGGTTGTACAAAGAAGTCTTAATTCAGCGTAAGAATTTGAGTACAATGTATTTGATTGTTTTCCACATCTCCCCAATCTCACCTACCTCCTCACCCATTCATTTTTTTCATAGGGTCTTGCTTTATACCCAGGTCTGGGCCAAATGTTCCTTTTTGTGCTTTCTTGCAGGCTGGGGATGGCTGGGGTGCCTCTGAGCCCACCCATTACTCTTCCCCTGCAGATTAGGTAACAGGAGCCTGCTATAACACCTAGCCACTGAATTCGATGGAGTCTTGTGGACTTTCATGCCTAAACTAGCCTCAAACCATGATCCCACACCCAGTCCCCATCTCTCCTTTTCAAGTAGGTCAGATTATAGGCTTAACCTCTCATATTTATCTCTTTTGCATTTTTACCTTGTTCTTCCACTAGAAATTTAAAATTAGTCTTTACCATTCATTTACCTTTGGTCCCCATTTACCTGTTGCACACACACACACACACACAGATACACACACACACACACCACCACCAACAATACCATCACAACCACTACCACTACCACTACCATCATCAAGAGGTAAAAGAAACTGTATTTTGATCAGGCAGAGAAGCTTAAAACCTTAGCTTTAAGGATTGAATGACTAAGGGAGAGCCCAAAACAATATATATTAAATCAATAAATGTAATTTTATAAGAATTTCAATTTCTCTTAGTTCAAGTGAAATAGTAGGCCTCTGGAATTTCTAATGAAGGTTAATTTTTACCATCCTTTTGAAGTGGAAAAGAAATTAGAAGAAAAGAAATTAGAAGCTGAGAAAAAAGAAGCAGGAATTCCAAGGGAGCCTTCAGGTCTTACTCCCTCTCAACCTGAACCAGAAAAAGAGAAGGAAATTCACCATCAAGATACTTCAAAATCTTCTGCAAAAGGAAAGCCACAATCAGGTGATTGACATTGGGATTTATATTTGCCATCTTCTTATTTTAACTTAGGACAGAATTGTATAGCATTAGTCTGTTTTCTAGCTTCAAGAAATTGGCAACTTCAATTCAAGATCTATACTCAGATCAAAGCAACCAATTCTCCCCAACTCACTGCTTTTTAGTGTTAGGCACTGAACATCTTGGATGTTAAGAATATGCTATGCCACTAAGTTACATCCCTATTAAGAAGAAAGTGTCTTCTAACAGCTAAGGACATGGTTGTTTTTAATAGCTTAGAGTCTTTTCTATTTAGCAGAGAGGATAGTGTCATCTTAGTTTGACTAGCTGATAGAAAGAGGAAAATGGTAGAATAAAGTAATCATTTAGGACAGTGAGAGGGTAGCTTGCTGATTAATAGAGTTACATTCCTGTAGAGTGAAAACATCTAGCTAAAAAGAGAATTAATGTAGCTGATTGTCTTTAAGAATAAGAAAATCAATCAACAACATTCAATAGAGACTAAAATTTGTGTGTAACCCCAAGTCCTCGGACTATAAGATTATGTAAAGAAAGAAACAACCAATGACATTTTAGTAAACCTATATTTATACATATATAGATTAAAATCCTGGTAGGTAATTTCTTTAGATTAATTTCTTTGCAGATACTAGTCGCTAAGATCATGAGTCTAGCATTAAGTGGTAGAAATTGAATAAGAAGACAAAAGTAAAATGGACAGTTGCCTTCCTTTATGACATAGATAGAACAGCACCTGGTTTTGGATTTCAGCATAATCAGCGGCTAGCCTTGCAGTTAGACAAGTTTTTCTGGCTAACCTCAATGTGTCATGTCTAAATTCACCATTTGTCCATTTTGTGAAGATTTTAGGTGAATCTGAATTTCTTTTAAAGATGAAATGTATTCATGTTAGCAAAGAAAGTTGAAAACTTAGCTAACAGAAGTTATTATGTGTTAGAGATTACTTTACTCCAGAAAATTAGGGCTTAACGGAATCAAAACATGCATCCTTTCCCTATCATCTAATTAGCAATTAGAAAAATCAATTTCAATGGACACCATTAAAAGGCAAGTTAGAAATGAAAAGGAAGAGAGAGGCTGAAGTTAGTCTAGAATTATTCAGCTGTCTGTTAAGTGATGGTTATGGCTGTACCCACTATTTAATCACCTTTGGCTTGCTTACAACCAGAGCATTGATATATTTAAGCCATTCTTTGAAACAAGTCTTTAATGTTTCTGATGATGACACAGTTCAGTTTTGAAATTCCTGGGGCTTGTTTGCTATTTAAAAAATTGTATACTTGAACACTGTGCATTGCAGGAATAATAAATCAATCATTGCTTCAAAGAGTGTTTGTACCTGTCTCATTTATTTTCCACAGGGAAGGACTAGTGCCCACTTTTTAAACATATATTAAAAGTTAATCTCTAAAGTTCTAAGTACTGCTACCTTGCAACACTCTATAGTCAGTAAGACATCTTGGTGCTCTCAGCACTGGTGGGGCAAGGGGTTGAGGTATGCCTGGCAGCTCATTCTAGAAGCTGAGGTAAGCCATTTGGGGATGGGAAGAGTCCACCAGGGGATTTTGTTTTATTTTGTTTTCAGTCTTATAAAAGGAATTTAGTATTTCTTCGAGTATTTTCAAAACCAAAACTCTGTAGTTTTTCAAACATCCAATTAACAATCTTTTTTGAACTTAAGATAGACAATAGAATTCTTTTCTTAAAAGCAAATCACTGTCAAAAAGAGAAGGTAGCATAGTGCACTGAGCATTAAAGAGACATTCAGTCCAAATTTAGTCTATATTTTATATAACTTATCTGCTTCAACTACATTTGCAGTTGAATTTGAAAAATTTTAATTATGTCCCATTGACTAGCTTATCCCATCACCATTATTTAATATCAAACTATAATTTTTCAGTATTGTGAAATAGAGTAATACTGCCTCTGCTGCTATTTAAGAATATTTCAGGAAGTTCAGACTACTTTTTAGGGCTAATTGAAAAGGGGGTCACAAACATTCATCTCCAGCAAAAACAGACTTGCAGAAACAGACTTGCCCACAATGTTTTGCAGGTCTAGTGTCCTTTACTTTGTTTCATTTGTCATCTTGAACTAAAGTTTAGACCTAGTTACATATTCAGTTATTCAGAAATACTTTTTTAATTTTTATATATTTTTAACATTGCGAAGGTGATATACAAAGGGGTATAGTTACATAAGCCAGGTCTTGAGTACATTTCTATTTGAACAGTGTCATCCTATCCAAGAGTTTTTTTTTAATCAAAGAAACTAGGTTTATTAGAACTCTGGTTATTAGGATTATTTCCTTTTCATTAACAAAGCAAAAACCTCTTTTCTCCATTTCCTGATATTTATTTCCATAAATATTATTTTATATGATCAGATGCACATAGGCATCATGCCTTTGTGTTCCTCTCCTAAGAATATCCTCCTTTGGCCTCACTGTGTGTGAATGTCTAGAGTTCTGTATAATTTACAATGTCCAGTGTATGTTAGATCTAGCTTCCACATGACCCTTTTGTTTCTCTGAGCTTGGCTTACCTCACTTAACATGAATTGTTCTAGGTCTATCCATTTCCCTGCAAATTACATAGTATTATTCTTTCTAATGGCTGTGTAAAATTCCATAGTGTAAAGGTACCACGTTTTGGGGACAATTCATCTATTGTAGGGTATCTGAGCTGTTTCTACAACCTGGCTATTTTGAATAGTGCAACAAGAAACATGGATGTGCAAGCATTTTTACACTATCCTGGCTTGTGGATAACTGCCCAGATATCTGAGTCATAGGGAAGATCTGTGTTCGTTTGTTTTCTTGAGGAGCCTCCAAATTGCTGTCCAGAGTGGCTGTACTAGTTTAGATTCTCACCAGCAGTTCAGTAGGGTTCCTTTTCCTCCACATTCCCTGCCAACATTTGTTGTTAAAATTCATGATGTTGGCCAGTCTAAATGGGATAAGATGGAATCTCAGAGTTGTTTTGATTTACATTTCCATAATGACAGGAATGAAGAACATTTCCTTATGGGTTTCTTTGTCATTCATTACCTCTTCTGAGAAGTTTCTCCTTAGTTCTTTACACATTTAATGGTTGGAATATTAGGTTTGGAAGGGGTTAGTTTCTTGAGCTCCTGGTGTATTTTGGATTAGGCCTTTGATGTAAAGCTGGTAAAGATCCTCTCCTCATCTGTTTATTGTCTTTCTAGTTTAGTAAATATGTCCTTTGCTGTGCAGAAAATTTTTAGTTTGATGTAATCCCATTTGTCAAGTTTCTCTCGTAGCTGCTATACCCCGGGACTCTCTTCAAAAAGTTTCTGCCTATGCCTATGAGTTCTAATGTTCCTCTTACTCCCTCTTGCAGTAATTTCAGAGTCCAATCTAACATTAAGGTCTTTATTCCATTTTGAGTTGATATTAGTGCATGGTGACAAACTAAGATCCCCTTTATTTTTCTGCATCTGGATGCCCAGTTCTCCCAACATCAATTATTAAACAGGCTCTCTTTTTTTCAACTGTATATCTTTGGCTCGCTTATCAAATATCAGATAACCAAAATAGATAATTTTATTTCTGGGTTCTTCTAGTCTATTCCATTGATCTTCAGGCCAATTTTTCTGCTAATATCAAGCTGTGTTTGTTGTTATAGCTCTGTAGTAGAGCTTTAGGTCTGGGATTGTGATACCACCAGCATTGCTTTTATTCCCCTAGAATTTTTTTTGGCTATTTGAGTCTTTTGTTGTTCCAAACGAATTTCTGGATTGTTTTCTCTATCTCAGTAAAAAACATCATTGGGATTTTGATGGAGATTGTACTGAATATGTTGATTATTTTTTTTATCAGTATGGCCATTTTCTACCTATTTATGAACATGGGAGGTCTTTCTATTTCTGATGTCCTCTTTGACTTCTTTCTTTAAATTTTTATAGTTTTTACCATAAACATCTTTTACTTCTTTGGTTAAGTTTATTCACAGATATTTAGAATTATTTCTTTAAAGCAAAATTTCATTAAAACATTTGATCGTGCATTTTGTTTAGTTTTATGATAAAATATTGTATGTTCAAAAGTCCTCAGGAGTTTAATAAAGCTTCAAGGATGATCCTTCTCTATGACATTCACTTATCATATTTCTATAGACTTGTAGATGTTAGACATGCTATGGTCAAAAATGTCCTACATGCTATACATAGACACAGTCTCATCCCTATCACTTCTAGACATCAAGATAGGTCAACCAATTACATAAAAGCTGTAGACTAGGGTGGAGAAAAGAAATTGGTTGAGTTTTTCTGGTGAATTTCACAGGATGTAGTGAGTTTTCCCAAGGAATTCTCTAATTTATTAGTTGAGACATATTACTGACTCCATTAGTTTCCTAGGTTGCCCTTTTGAACTTTGGATGCCAGAGAATCCAAAATAAATATGCTTAAACCACTCTCTGAATTTTAAATTGCACTCATCCAACTGGAAATATGGGAGTTACAATTGAGTTTGTGGTCAAGAGAACTGTACCATGCCAAAACAAAGCCACTGTGTAATTGCTCTTCCAACTGCTTTGGCATCATCTTGTTGTCTTACTGAAAAAGCATCAATTCCTTTTCTAAAAATCAATGTAGATGGGCTGTGAATGTAGCCGAGTGGTTGAGTGCTTGCCTAGCATGCATGAAGCCCTGAATTCAATTCCTCAGTACCACACCAACAGAAAAAGCCAGAAGTGACATTTTAACACAGTCAAACTTCTTGTTAACATAGTATAGTATAGAAATGCTAAAGTTTAGGCATGTATAATAGGATTTCCTTCCTCAAGAGGAAAGTACATGATTCTATTTCTTAATATTTGATATTAATGTCATAAAATGTAAACACTGTTATGTCATAGACTATTTGATTACAGTTTTATCTGAACCTATCTCTTGAGCTGAGAAGCCAAAATGATGATCAAATTCATTGTTTCCTGCCAGTAACATTCTTGAGGCATTCATAGTCTTCTCAGATGTTAGATGAACTTCTCTTCGAAAATCTTAGCACTGATGGTTCATTCACAGATGTACTTATAGTGATCTTAAAGTATTCTTGTCTTCTTTCATTTTCTCATCCTATTATATTTCTTCATAAAGCAGTTTTATAATCTTACCTGGAGTTGTTAATTAGGTGCTAGATAAGGAATTATTTTCATGGACAACCAAATTCAGCAAAGACAACTTACGTCACATTAAAATATTTTTAGCCACAGAATTTATGCTTATGTCACTGTGCATCTCCCAGGGAGAAATGGAATGTGTGAGAACTCTTGGAGTATTTTGGCTGCAGAATTTTTCTCCCTTAGAGCAGTAACTGTTATGACTAGAGTTCTGTCACTCTTGGGAATTTAGTAAAATCCTCTTTACTTCAAATGTCCTGCCACCATGATGGGATTTGTGGGGCTTATTCATATCTATTCTCAAACAGAAGGGGTGTCCCAATATTACATACAAACACACATGTAATCTTTTCAAATGAATTGTTCTTACCTGGAATCTTACACAGAGGTCAATTAAGGGCCATTGTGCAAAAGGATTTAGTAGATTTTATAGAAGATACAAAAATATGTTATTTTTCATTGTAAAGTTGATACCACATATCTAAAAGCTGGTGATTGCTTTATGAGCAGGGATAATAGTTCAGATAGTAAAACTCAACCATAATCATCTTGTTTTACACAATTCATAATCATAATAATAACCACTGCTTTGAGGTATCTGTTATATACTAGGCACTATGTAAAATAATCTACATATATAATCTCACTAAATTCTCACACCCACCTCAAAAGTCTAAATTGTAACTTGACTGTTGACCTACAAAAAAAAAGGAAAATTAAGAGTCTCTTCATGCTGTCACAACCTCAGATTGAGTTGCAACATTAAATTGCTTATAGCAATGCTGGATTTTCCTTAATTGATATTATTGCTCTTAAGTATGAACGTAGTTGTTATTTTTTTCAATACATCAACCCAAAAATTGCACAAAAGGCAATCTACATGCATTATAATTAGCAAACAATCAGAAAATCAATCTATAGGCTAGCTAAATGGCTTCATGCATACTACTCTAACATTTACAGATTTCTAAATATCAGTCTAATGAGCATTTGGAATATGAGCTGATCACTAGACAGTAAAAGCCAATCAGATCATGAAGTGTAGAGGCAGGTTGAAATTTTCATTCTGCCATTTCCCATGTAGTGACCTCAGGCAGAATTATGCCTGGCTTAGAGCGTACACTAAATAAACAAACTATCTAATTATTAGTCCTCCACCAAGTTACTAAAGATTAACTAGAAGAAGGAACCCTCTGTAAACTTGAGGTAAAGAGTTTCCATTATTTATCACTGACTGAATATGTAACTATATTAAAAATCAGCTTTTACAAGTAGTCCCAGTGATCAGTATCATTACTTTAGAGACTTGTCCTCATTTTGTATTTTAGGCACCCTAAGAGTAGTAAAATGGTCTTGGGGCTACTGAGAACACAGAACTTTTCTTCACTAATTTTTTCCCTAAATACTTTCTCAATGAAGATTTTGAGAACAAATTCTCAAAATTCATGTTCAACCTCTGGCTCTTTGCTTAGTACTGGCCACCTTCTCTTCCCCGTTGAATTGCTTCAGTCTATTTATTTCTGAGATAAACTCTTCATGATATCTGTTTTGTCTTGATTCTCAGCCCTAGAGTCTTCTTTTTCTTTGTAGCCCAAGCAACTCTCAGCATTAGTTGTTAACTGTTGTTTATTAAATCAGACCCTAAAAATAATATTTGGAGATACTTGTGATACATTTCTTTAAAAACAGAATAAATTAAATTTTCCATGTTTTTCTCCCTCCTCTCCATTCTCTGACAAATACTTATTGAATTAAAAAATGTTCTATGTTTTAGTGTCTTCTCTTTGTCTTATGAGTAGAGTTTGTACATATCTTAGAACTATTTGCTTTCTTGATTCTAAATCATAGGTCAATCTTGACATTTCATTACTCAGAGCTTTACTACGTTGTTACTGTTATTTATTGTTTATTCACTTATTGCTGATGCCTACTGAGCTCTCATTTCACCTTTGGTTGACAATTTCTTTATCCACAGCACTGCTTAAATATACCCTGTGCCTTAAAATTGAATTTTTTGACTTATTTTTACTTGTGCCTGCTCTGGCTTCTATCTGATATAACACAACTTCTGAAAAATCTAATCATAGATTATGCTCCAAACCATTCAATCATGAAGAATAGATACACTCAGTGATTCAAATTCACAAGTGAAAGCAAATTTCTTATTAGAAACCTGAGCTATCACTGTTGTTCATTATACTGATGAAAGATTTTGTTCAAAACTCACGTCATTTCTTCACTACACAACAAATACATTTTATTTCTTCAAATACTTTCTCTTTCAGCATTTTTATTGTTAAAAATTAGATTAAAGAGTTAAGTATACTCATCCAAAGTATTCCCTGTCTCTCTTAGTTTTTACTACATGATCATAATAATCTAAGTTTCTCTTTTTAGGAATTCTGCTTAGGGATTTATAAAAAAAATGTCTTGGAGATAGATGTTATTTTTATTTCACCAGAGATGCAGCCAACAACCATGAAAAATGAATGAAATTATAAATGTCTTTGGCTACTGACAGAAAAAATGTTTAAAATTTTTCTATATTTAAAAAATGTAAATACAACTTCAATATATGTATAATAGATGCTACTTTTTAAATATACAAATTAAAATCACCTAAATTTCCCATAATTCGTAATACACAGACTATTGCTCCTCCACTTATAAGCCTTGCAGTTTTAATTACAATAAAGTAGATATATTAACTTTACCAAACACCATTAACATTAAATAAAACTTAGATTTTTTAATTTTTTTCTTTATTATTTAGTCTTTCCCCAAAAATATAGTTTAGAGAAAGAAAACACTCTTACCTAGTGTTACAGACATCATTAAACAGTTTTTTTTTAAAGTTCAGCAATTAATCTGAAGGTAAACTTTTTAAGCTCAAACTGAGTGAATTTCTAGAGAATAATAACCTTGATCTTTTCAGGAAGTTCCTGGTGTTCTCTGGGTTACAGAATAGGGTCATTCATACCATAAGGATGATGCTTATCTAGTTTTGGATCTCCTCTTGATATCAGGAAGACTGAAGTGGATATTTTTCAGATTCTAAATTAATGCAGTAGATCTCTTCTTCCTCTTCTTTCTTTCCTTCTCTTGCCATTTCTAACCTCAACTTCCTTCCCTAAATTTTTCCTCCCTCCCTCTGTCTAGCTCTCTGTCTCTGTCTCTCTCGGTCTCTTGCTCTTGATGTTTTGCTCTTTCTTCCCTTCCTCCTTTCTCTCCTCTCTCCCTCACCCTATCCTTCTCTATGTCTCTATATTTTTCTCTTCCTCCCTTCCTCCTTCTTTCTTTATTTCTCTCTCTTCTTCCCACTCCTTTCTTTCTGTTTTGCCTTTCCTCTCTCCCTTTCTTCCTCCTTTCTTCCTCCTTTCTCTCTCTCTCTCTGTCTCTGAGTGTTTCTCTTCTTCATGTGTTTCTGTCTTCTTGTCTTTCTGACTCTTGACTATCTCTCTCTCCTTTATTTGCACAATAACTATCTTTCTATCTTTCTACTATGACATCAGCAAGAACTATAGTTTCCTCCCAGAAGCCATGTTACCTACAGGGCATGTGGACAGATTGAGTTGATACAATGGCCTCTCTCCTTCTGCCTGCTCATCTTCCTTCTTGCCTTCTACCTGCCTCCATTCTCATTCAGGTTGAATAATCTGCCAGTTTCTGTAACAGGAAATTAAACACATTTTTTTTCTGGAGTCTAAACCGTATAAGAGCCATTGCTCCATTGTAAAAGGCAAGAAACAAGAAGGAAATAAATTATTAAATTATTTTGAATAGTCAGTTGGGTAAGAGCCATTGGATTGTTTAAGACAAGAAAACATGTTTTGTAGTATTATAGTTCGTTTGGAATGTAGGAAGAATGAAGTTTTAATTTTTCTTTTGTTAAGACTGCCTAAAGATACTTTAAACAAAAATGAGTAATTACCTGAAATCTAAGTCAATCAAATTGATTCACACCCAGAATTCTTTCCTGCTTATCTACTTGGATTGGAATGATTTAATATGCATGTTTAAGTTTCTCCTAAAGGAAAATCACCAGGAGGGAAAACACCTGTAAAGAAGTCTCCTCCTGTTAGCTCTTCAGAAGCGTCACCCACTCCAACCATGCCACCGCCACCGAAGCCAGGATCAGAAGAATGGGTCTATGTTGATGAGCCAATTCCTGAGGTATGGCAGCTTCCAATCAAACTTCTAGTTATTATGAAATTCACACCATTGATTTTCAGCATCACCAAGTCTTTCATAGCTAGTAATATGTATGTTGTTAACAAGGTCGGGGTCAACTTGCCTGTGTGAGGTCCTGATTTCCATCCTCAGCATTGAAAACATAATATCTGAGGTAAACTTTCCAGTCATTTCATTGAAAACCACATCTCAAATTTTTCCTTCCTTACTGGAGTTTCTGAGTCATGCTTTGAAGCGCTGAAATGAGGGAACAATGTGTTCTATGAGGGCCAATTCACTCCCTGAGGACAAGCAGAGATTTAGTTTCCTAGAAGAGGGACTGCCACTGAACACACCAACCAGATAATTTACAGCCTTCCGTCCATGTTCCAATGTTCACATCACAATGCTTTTAGATGAAGTTTCACATCTGACCATTTAGAACTAGAAGATAATTTTTAACTTAACTAAACCTGTTAAATGCTGCTGCTGCTGCTGATAATAATAATAATAATAATAATAATACCAAGATACTTAACTTTAGACCCTGAAATTCAAGGACAAGACAAGGAGATGCCCCAGGAGAACCCACTGTCCTCCAACAGCTGCAAATGTCAGCTGAGTACTTACTCCTAGCAGCTCTAATGGATTAATTGCCTTGGGAAATAGCACACAGGGTGGTGATTTATAACTTTTCAAAGGCAAGGAGTTCTTCCAAGACTAAATTCTATCTTTTTTACTGTAGTCTCTTTTTTACAGTGGTTTCTTACTATCATGATGGCAAGGGCTCTCTATATCAGGTATTTCAGATCCATCCTACATTGAGGCAATTGTGATAGTGCTGCTGTTGGTTCTGGGTCTTCCCAGAGATAGCCCAATTTGGTTACAAATTCATTGGTGGGACAGCATGAGAGCATGAAGAGTAAGTAATAGAATCCTACACAGAATCAAACTTAGATTCTTGATTAATTTTGAGTAATTTAGTTAATGAGCATGAGGACAAGATTAGAACAGGCTCCTAAATGATACATATCTATATATTATGTATTTTACATTTGAAATTTGATATCACTCAGCAAAAGAGAATCTTCTATATATGTATGTATGCACATATATATTATGTATACATGTATTCTTATACACACATATATACATTATATGTATAATATATATGTACATATGTATATACATAGATATACATATATTTATATATTTGATATATAGAAGAAGACTTTAAAGGAGGGAAATTTCATAAGAGAAGAATATAGAGAAGCAAAACTAAAAATTAAATTATTCCTCATATAGACTAGCTGGTTTGACTAGACCAGAATGGAAGGATAGTAATATGATTATTTTAAATGCTCCTCAGAACCATTTTGTAAAAGATAAACTAGAAAACAGTGATTGGAAGTAGGTCAGAAAAGGTTGTTAAAATGTCAAAGAAAAATTAAGTAAATCATCTCTAAATGATTAACTTTGATAAATGGACGTTTGCAATATGTCTGAACATGAAATATTTTGGGTCTTTAAGACTATCCTATCTCCATCCCCAAATCTACATCCAAAAATGTAACTAATGATAAGATGTTTCAGGGGGCAGGTCACCTTACAGCCACATAAACATTTAATACCCGTTATGTACAAATACTGCACTCAGGACTGACAGCGCAACGCAGGCAAGGGGGGATTTCTGTATCCAATAACATCATCTTTTTGGAGACAGAAAAATATAAGCTACAGCTTTGTACCAGACTTTAGAACCAAAGTACAGAGACTTACAATCACATAGAGAACAGTGGATTTAAATTGCAATATAACAAAAAACATTCCCATTGTAAGGACTCTCAAAATGTGATTTCATTGGTTAGGAACAGAGAGAAGGAAAGTCCAAGAGTGTTTGAGGGAAAATCTTTTAAGAGACAAACCTGGCAGGAAGATAGCTCCTCATTCACATGGGCATTAAAAGAAGTGCTGAGTGAAGCATTTGGCCTTTAGCTACATGGTAACAGAACCCATCCATTTCTTATGCAAGTTACATATTAAAATCCACTTTCAAAATAATAACTCAGAAAAACAGGACAGTGCGCTGATTAAAAGTGTAAGCTGTGACTAGTCTGTTTTAAAAAAAATATTGTAAAGGTGATGAATAAGGGGTTTACAGATATATAAGTAAGGTAGTACTGAGTACATTTCTTTTTAAATACTGTTACCACCTCCCTCATTTTCTCTGGCTTGTCCACCCATGACACTAAAGAGCTGGTGTCACCTAGTACACACTATGTAAGCCCTATTGCCACAACTGCTTCACCTTTAAATGAGAAAGCTAACAGACACTGATTTTACAGGTGGTTGTAAATTCCTTATATAGTACTAGCTGATTTCACAATACTGTTTGAGAATATTCAGAAGATTCCAAAGTTTTGTCAGAAGGCTTTTGGACTACTCTAGACAAGTATAAGCATTAACAGAAGATGGCAAGAAAGGATAAAAATCTATGTAAGATTCAGAAAAGGTGTCTTTCAGATTTTTCATTTTCTACTCCCTTCTTGTTTCATGATGCTCTATCCTCATTAGCCTGAATTCTTGTCCTTGAATGTGCCAGAACCTTTCCACCATAGTGCTGTTCCTTATGCTCACAGTGTTCATTACTAAAATTCCCCTTCTTTACAATCTACTTAAATAATATATATATACGTGTGTGTGTGTGTGTGTGTGTGTGTGTATACCTTATTCACCACCACACTCCTATTCTCTATAATAGTTGCTCATAGAATTGCCCGTCAACGAGTAAATCTTGATTGATTACTTACTGGCCTGACATAGTAACACAATGAATAGAATGACTTGAACACAGTGAATAGAATGACATGAATCCTGCATTTTTCTTGGCTTTCTCCTTATGAATGATAACTGTTTAGCAAACCAAGAAGGAAGACAGTATGAATGGCGGCTGTCCTTCTTCAAATACCGTAATGAAGGTCAAAAAGTTGAAAGCAAATTCACACTAAAACATCACATTTCTCATGGAAAAATGACATGAGTTGGAAGAGAACTTCTGCTTTAAAATACTCTGCTTACTACATCCACAGAAATTGAATAATATATCTTTAGTACTTGGCATTTCATGATTGGAAAGTATCCGGATGACTTCTAATGAATACACATGTGACTTCCTGAGTAAATACACAGCCAATAGAAGAATAATTATATAACACATTTATATTGACTATAGTATGTAACCTCGCTTTATTTCATGGATCACTTCTTACATTTTCATCATCTATCTGTGTTATTGCTGCTAACATGAAACAGATGTTCTAACCCCTGTGGCACACAGAGCAAGGACACAGTGTCCTGGGGAAAGTCAGAGAAGGATCTCCCTTCCACCCTGACATCAGCACCGGGAAGTGCTCCAGCTGAAACAAAATATGGTTATTCTATTCATATGATCCATAAACATATTTTGAGGACCTGCTAGGTCTCTGATACCATGGTAATTACAGAAAAGATTGTATTGTTTCTCACTTAACAGGATTGATATTCTGGAGTGGAATGCAGATAATAGGCAGTTTAAGTTAATATCATCAGCACTATCACAATGGGACAAGCATAGGGTACTAAGAGAAACCCTCAGAGCATCAGACTGGATCAGAGAAGGAGTAATATCTGTGCTGAGAAGTGAGGAATAGGAGTTCACTGGGGGAAGAGGAGTAAGAAATTTCACCAGGCATAATCCGCTTAGTTGCTTCACCTTGATCTTCTTGCTTATTTTGACCCAAATATTCAGAAGGATCTTCATTTTGAAACAACTATTTCTGCTCTTTCTCATTTAACAGGAAATAACTTCATTTTTAGTGCCTTACTGGGAACTGATAGAGAATTCCTATATCAACAGCATCAAAACTGTACTCAGGCATCTGCGAGAAGACCAGTTCTCTGTGCTCGTTTACTTGTATGAGACCCGGTAAGGAAGTTGCCCATGTCAGAATTCTATCCTTTACAAGCACGACACAGAAAAAATGCATGTCATTCTCTTAATTCCTTACAGAACAAGTTTCCAGGAGTTTCTAAGACGTCCAGATCACAAGCAGGATTTCGTTTCTCAATGGCAGGCTGATTTCAACTCTCTTCCTGATGATCTGTGGGAAGATGAGGACACAAAGGCTGAGCTACACCAACGAGTGAATGTAAGAACCACAGTGCCCATTGGCCTCAATGACTGCCTTCTCATACTTTGTCCAACAAATACCAGTTCCTGTCCTCCTTACTTTCAAGGACGGCAGGCTGAAGGTGGCAATGCTTTGAATAATTACCACCCAGTTTACTTTCAAGAGCTGACGTTCACCTGCAGTTTGATTCAGAATGAGAATAGAGCAAGTCCACCTCTGGGAAGAAGGCCCCCTGGGTATCTGCCTCATAAAGTCTTATCCCCAGTTCTTACGTAGACTATGTATTTGTGTCCAGTCCTAATGCGAATCCCATGCCTATCTTGAATGCAATTACACAACCAGTTCATTGCAAGGTAGGAGGACCCAAAGCAGAGCTTTTATTGTATACATGGAGTTACCTCTCCTGAGGGCAGATATCAAACTTTACATATCTTCATATCTAGCAAGCCAAGGGTTGAAAGTTTGTAGACAGGTATATTTTCAGAAATTCATAAATGAGTTTTGTCACCCTGCTACTCTAAACAAGGGCTTCTAACGTACAAGATATCTGCCTTTCAAGCCTCTGAAAATTGATAGACATCTTATCCCAGCAGAAGTATAGGCTACTAATAGTTGAATCTGGCAGTGATCTCAAGGATTATTTGTGAACCCCATGACCCATCATTTGCTCTGAAACTCTTTGTTAAGCATCATGATTCCAGCACTGTTCAAGGGCAAGGAATTCAGCAGTGAACCCAACGCTATGTGGCCCAGGAAATTTATATTCCGGTAGCCAGGGTACAGAGAATTAGTGACAAACAAATACACTCATACTGGGTATTTTATAAGTGATAAGAGCTGTTGAAAGGACAAGGAACTAGGAAACTCAGCTTCTAGTTTTAAGATCCTGTAGAGATCAGTTGGGAGGCTCTTAGAATAGAGGCTAGGTATCATGGTGGCCCAGATGATGGGCAAGTGCTACCTAATAGGTAGCATATGTCTTTGTAAAACTGACGTTTTAAACCTGTTCTTAGCTATTCCTGAAAGTACTAAGCAACTATGTAAATCCTATGACTGCCTTTTTCAATCTCTTTCCTGCCTATTTATAAATCCAGCCTCAAGTTTTTATACATATTACCCATAGCAATGAGATGATTGTTGGTAGAAAAAGAGAAAATTTAGAAATTCCAGCTTTTTATTCTTTTTTTTTTCAGGTGTATTGACTCTTTGTTGCATTCCTTCAATTTGCATTAAACAATATAATATTAATCTTGTTCAATATAGTTTTGGACAAAACACAGACATTAACCTCAATGAACAAGAGACACAAGTTAATACAAAGTGTGCTGCTTAAGCAGAGGAGAGAGGCAGGACCAGAAATGGGATCCAGGATACTGGCCACCAGCAATCACAGATTTTCACAATATAAGCCACTATTTCAAAAGCCACAAATAAGCCAGGGAAAACACAACAGAAATAGACAGACAGCAGGATTTAGAAATGATTTGTCCTGTACTGTACAGAAACATCAGGCTTTTTATTCTAATTGCAAATGCACCGTGTGTTTACTGTCGATAATTAGATGATGAAAAAGACAAAACTTAATATTATAAATCTGTAATTCTACCGCCAATATTTAAATACACTTTAGGGCATGTCTATGTGCATTTCCAGATTATTTTTACAGAAATATGATTGCAACATAGAAGCTGTTTTGTAACATTCTTTCTTCATCGGAACAGTACATTTTTGTTTTTAATAAAGATTGACCTGGAGCTTTATTTTTATGGCTAAATGGTATGATTAATCATACAGATTGCTACCATTAGTCACAATTTCACTAACAAAACTTGTTAGGCAGCAATTTTGTTATTATAGGAAATTATACATAATAAACTTTTATCTAGCTAAACACTGATTACATTCTTAATTGTATTTTAGGTCATTATTGAAAATAGAGAATAAAAGGGTAAATAGTTGAATAAAAGATTATTATATTTTAAAGATTATATTAAGTCATCCATTATTAAATTCTAGCTGCTTTTTAAATCTTTGTCAACTTAATGATTAATTTAATTTCTAATTTAGCATAGAAAATTGAACTTTTATTTTTAATAAGGTTGACCTTTCATCCCTGAGTTTAATGATCATTTTTTGAATCCTGTTTGTGATTTCTACACACTTTTCTGTTGAAGTGGGCTTATTTTCTTATTGATATCTATGACTTCTTTATATATTAAGGACGTAGACAATCTATTGATCATATATTACAGACATATTGCCAGTTTAATGTTTGCCCCACATTTTAGGTGATTTTTTTAACATGCACAAAAAAATCGATGTTTATGTAGATAAATATAGAAATATTTTATTATAGCATTTTGTGGCCAATTTCAAAACACTTCTTCATGGCAAAATTAAATACAAGTGTACCACTATTTTTAAAGCTTTCTAGTGTTATGTTTAACTTGTAAATACTTAAATTATATTACTTTAATAGAGACTTTGAGTTTGTACTGAGTTGCATATGGCATACTTTTCTCTATATATAGCCATTTATCTCCTTAGTTATATATGGTCCATATATTTCCTTACAGGATTTTTCTTAATTTATTGTTAGACTTGAAAATAAAATATATAAATGTAACCTAAAAACAAATCTAGAAGTCAGACCTGAGAGGAGGAGGCAGAATTAATAGAGATAGAAGTAGAATTCTGCTACTGTCATAAGTCAGTATTTATTATATTCCCCCCCCAAAAAAAAACACTTATGTCAATACAAAGGAGATGTCAAGATCAGCTCTGAAATATAGCATTATATGCTGATGAAAATGATGTATGGCATTTTCATTGGGGGTACAGTCTCTACATGGTAACAAGCCAAAATGCTAAAGTAAGAGTCCAAATACAGTGTTCCAACTGGAATCAAACTCCTTGGGTTTGAATTACTGGCTCTACCAGCTCAAAACCATAAGCAAATAACCTGACCTCACATTACCTGAATTCTCTTCTCAGCATCCTCCCAGCTCTACCGATTCTTCATTGTAGGCATATTCATTCTGATTTGTTTCCCCCATCTGCAATATGAAGATAACACTACCACCACATAAAGTTGTTAGGCACTAAATGGGGTGATGCAAGCATAGTGATGAATGCTTTAACATGTGTTAGGAAGAGCTCATTACCTATTATAAAACTGAAATTTACCAATTAAAATGGTAAATTTCAATTTTATAATTTACCATTTGAATTACCATTTCAATTGAAATGGTAAATTATAAAAGAAACAAATAACGTTTTATTTAAATTACCCCATTAAACATATTACATATAAATACTATATGCAAGATTATTATTGCTCAGAATCTATTATGTTGCCAGACTGAAATTCTTCAAAAGAATTTATTGATAACTCTTTAATACAAAACTTACTTTTGGACCACCCATTAAAATCAAACTATATTTCTTGGCAAATAATGGTGTCTGCCTATGATTACTGATTATGAAGCCTTGATTTCAGTGAAGAAATGTATCATTTCCCATCCACAATACATTATACTCAGAAAATGACAGAAAATGATTTCCAGCCAAAGAATCTTACTGAGAAAGTACTGAAACACATAATCACCCATGGATAAATGTCACTTTAGTGGATTTGCATTTAATGTGAACACATGATTTGAAAGCAGAAGCAAAAAATGATTACCAGTTAATGGGGCTGGGAAGGTGGCTCAGTGGTAGAGCGCTTGCCTTGCATGCCTGAGTCCCTGGGTTCGATTCCTCAGCACCACATAAGCAAAATGAAAAAAGTCTGAAGTGGTGCTGTGGCTCAAGTAGTAGAGTGATAGCCTTGAGCTGAAGAGCTGAGGGACAGCACCCAGGCCCAGAGTTCAGACCCCATGACCAGACCCCTTCCCCCCCCAAAAAATGATTACCAGTTGAATGAATGACTGTAACACATGAGGTCTAGATTTTTGTTAGAGACATTTATAACAGCAGGAAAGATTTTACCTCCATCACACTGGGGTGATTTGAACCGTGATCATTCAGCAGAACTGTCTTTCTCTCTCCTCAGGATTTGCGAGACCGCCTGTGGGACATTTGTGAGGCTAGGAAGGAAGAGGCTGAGCAGGAGCGGCTGGACATCATTAATGAGAGCTGGCTGCAGGACTTCCTTGGAATCACCATGAACCACTTCTTTTCCTTGATGCAAGTAAGAGCAGCCGACCCCAGATCCCTCCCTGGGCAGCCATGTTTCTCATGGCACCAATCCTTGAATAGACTTCAGGTAATGATCATTTGTCCAAGATGCTAAAAAGCCAAAAGCCTACATGAGAAGGACAAAAGTGAAGAACCTTTTAGAAGGTCTACAAAAGCCCATAGTACTCGTTTAAAAAGAAAGAAAGAAAAAAGAATAACTAGATAAGACTTTTCCAAGTTAGGTTCCCTGGAATCCTAGTTTCACAAACAGAATTTTGTTGTTAAATGATTCTGGTAAGGACTAAAGAAATGTTATTATTTCCTCTCTCTGGGAATTGACACACATTAACATATTCAAACATCAAGATGCTCTCCTGCAAAGAAAATCTTTACGTTAACTCAGCATTTCTTTAACTATTTGACCTTTAAATTGTGTCATTTATTCCTTCTCCAAGAAGATACACGTTAACAACTTTTAAGACAAACTTTTTTTACACAAAACATTTTTAAATTTTATTTTATTTCTTTTTTCTTGTAAAGGTAATGTACAGAAGGGTTACAGTAACATAAGAAAAGTAAAGGGTGCATTTCTTTTTGAACAGTGTTACCCCCCTCTCTAGTTTTCTCCCATTACCCCCCCTCGTCCCCCATCTGTACAGTTCATTTGCAACACAGTGCCATGTGATTCTCACTGCTGCATTGGTTCACCCTTTGTCTTTTGTCTCGCCATTTCTGTGCTTCCTCTTCTTATCCCCAATTCAGATAAACTTATATACAACACAAAGAATATGGAAGTAAAAACAACAGGGTAAAGCACAGGGGGGAAATTGAAAGAAAAAATAAATAAATGTATACAGCACACTAAGGAAAAAAACATCTTGCTTCTGTATCTTGTAGTTCATTTCAATTAGCATCATTTTATAACGTCATATGTACATAGCTATTGTGCTATTGTGATCCACTGCTAGAGCTACCCTAGACATATACTAATTAATACATATGAAGGAAACCACTCATCAAGTTTCCTAGTTCTGTTTGCGCATATACCTTGAATAATACAACTGTATTCATGCATTCTATTCATCTACCCCCACTCTCTAGCTAAGATATGCTTAGCTTCCTAATATTCATTTTATTAAGTACCTGATAGTTGTTCAAAGGGATTATATCATACCATCTGTGAGAAGAATTTCAATTCTTTTTATGTGGCAATCCTGAATATGGTATTGTATCCTATTCAATTTTGGTATATAATAAATCACAATTTACCTCCCTGAAAATAAATTAATCTCTTATACAAAACAAACATTATAATAAGGTAGTCCTAAGGCACCGATATCAGTGTAGGCCCACATACCAATTATTAAAAATAAGCTTTTTTTCTAAACCTAGTTATTATTGAGAGTTCAGTTCATCAAGAATTGAGATGAGGACTGGGAATGTGGCTCATTGGTAGAGTGCTTGCCTTGCATGCAGAAAGCCCTGGGTTCAATTCTTCAGTACCATATAAACAGAAAAGGTCAGAAATGGCACTGTGGCCCAAATGGTAGAGTGCTAGCCTTGAGCAAAAGAAACTCAGGGACAGTTCCCGGCCCTGAGTTCAAGCCCTAGGACTGGCAAAAAAAATTGAAATGTATTTACCAATTAGTATAATATTACGGATTAAGGATTATTTTTAGAGTCCCACAACACTTTTCTTCAATTCTCCAAAGTTACTTATCAATACCCAGTTTGTGCTAATGGATTATACATTTGTATATTCTTATAATGAATATTATAAGTGTGGTATTGTGCAACTTTGTTTTATTCCCATAGTTTTACAAACCTAAGCATGACATTTACAGAATCTACATTGTAGCATTGGTACTGTGCAGATTCTCACTGCATGTATCGCCAATAAATGAATTATCTTGATAGAGTCACTCATATGAATAACTGATACTTGTTTTGCTACCAGCTCCTTTGTGCTGCTTCATTTCCTCACAAGCCTCCTGGCAATCCCAGCGAAAAACTCCAGCTGTCAGCATTGGAGATATTATCTCTGTGCTGTATACGCTTAGCAAGAGGAAAACTGCAAAGAGAACTATTCATTATCATGTTATGATTTTCTTTGTTATGCGTCCACACTAGCATATACTGTTCTAGAGCACAAGACTATCATCTTGCATTATTTTTGTTTCTGTTTTTGCATTTCTGCCTAAAGCATTTTTGGTATTGCTCAAATCAAGTAATGTGTTGGCAATGACAACAAAGATACGTCATTGTTTGTTAATATATTGATTGATTGACTCCTGGCAGCAATAAGAATACCTAGCATCAAAACAATGCACACTTCAAGCATAATGCCTACTAAAACCTTTTGTCACAGTATCAAGAAGCATAGAAATATCAGTTTCTTCAATGTAATCAAGTCAATAAGTACACAGAGTAAAAGTTACCTTTAAAATCAAAACAGAACTTAGAAAGTGGAAAAACCTCCCATGCTTCTGGATTGGAAGGATCAACATCATGAAAATGGCAACACTTCCAAAGGCTACCTACAAATTCAATGCAATACCTATAATATTCCAACCCCATTCTTCAATGAAATAGAAGAGGCAACTCAAGAATTCATATGGAACAATAAAAGACCCCGAAAAACAAAAATGATCCTTAACAGAAAGAACAGTGCTGGAGAAATATCAATACCAAATTTTAAACTCTACTACAAAGCCATAGTAATCAAAACAGCTTGGCACTGGCACAAGAACAGACCTCAGGACCAATGGAATAGAACTGAAAACCCAGAAATGAACTACAGACCTATAGCCACCTAATCTTTGATAAGGGGGCTTAAAAAAACAGAATGGAAGAAAGACAGCCTCTTCAGTAAATGGTGCTGGCAAAATTGGTTAACTACTTGTAGAACATTAAAGCTAGATCCTTCTATATCACCCTGCACCAGAATCAACTCCAAATGGATCAAAGACCTTGGAGTCAAAGCAGACACCCTGAAAACATTACAGGAAGGAAAAAGAGAAACCCTAGGTCTCCTTGGCACAGGCTGAAATTTTCTTATTAGAGACCCAGAAACACAACAAATCAAAGAAAGGTTGAACAAATGGGATTGAAGAGCTTCTGCATGGCAAAGAACTTAGCTCAAAAAATCAATAGAAAGCCCACAGATTGGGAGAAGGTCTTCACTAGCCATACAACAGACAAGGGTCTCATATCTAAAATATAGCTGGAACTCAAAAAAATTAAATCCCCCAACAACAAATCCTCAAAGAAACAACTGCCCAATAAATAAGTGGGCTAAAGACTTAAAGAGAAACTTCTCTGAAGAGGAAAGAAGGATGGCCAATAGACACATGAAGAAATGCTCAACCTCTCTAGCCATAAAAGAAATGCAAATCAAAACAACATTGAGATACCACCTCACCCCAGTTAGAATGTCTATCATCAAGAACTCTAACAACAACAGATGCTGGAGGGGATGTGGCCAGAAGATAACCCTACTGCATTGTTGGTGGGAGTGTAAACTTGTTCAACCACTTTGGAAAGTAGTATGGAGGTTCCTCAAAAGACTCCACATAGAGCTCCCTTATGACCCAGCAATCCCACTTTTGGGCATTTACCCAAATGATCACAAACAAGACCATACTAAAGCTACCAATATAATTATGTTTATTGCAGCATTATTTACCATAACTAAGACATGGAACCAACCCAGATGCCCCTCAGTAGATGAATGGATCAAGAAAATGTGGTATATATACACAATGGAATTCTATGCCTCCACCAGAAACACATTGCCCCATTTGGTAGAAAATGGAAACACTTGGAAAAAAATATAATAAGTGAAGTAAGCCAGGCCCAAAGAAACATAAGTCTCATGGTTTCCCTTATTTGCAATAACTATTATATGTCTGAGACAAGCAGAAAAGGTCAAATAAGGTTATGTTAGGTGAAATGAACCCCAAGACAGGGACACAAGTTTTTTTTTTTCTTTCTTGCTATTGTTTTTAACATATTTATAAGATACTACATTATTTTTTGTGGCTTTGTATGTCCCTCCCCCACGGTATAACCCCTATTTTTACTGTATTTGATGTTGGTAAAATTTTGGGAGGGGAAGGGCAAAAACAAGTCGTTTAAATAGGAATACAGGTGGACCTATTGCAACAATGAGATGTACAAGTCGTTATGTCGAAAACGAACTTCACAACTTTGGTGGAGGGAATGGGGGGCAGGGGGATGATAGGAAAGGATGGGAAGGGGAAACAAAGGAGGAGGCTACAATTCTTGATAAGAAATGTACTCATTACCTTTCTCATGTAATTGTAACCCCTCTGTACAGTATTTTCACAATAAAAAACTTATTTTTTTTTAAAGTTACTAGTGGGGTGCTGGTGGCTCATGCCTCAGATCTCAGGAGGCTGAGATCTGAGGATCTCAGTTCAAAGCCAGCCCAGGCAGGAAACACTGTGAGACTTTTATCTCCAATAAACCACTAGAAAACCAGAAGTGGTGCTGTGGCTCAAGCAGTAGAGCACTCGCCTTGAGCTGAAGAGCTGAGGGACAGTGCCCAGGCCCAGAGTTCAAGCCCCATGACCAACAAACAAAAAAAAAGTTACCTTTAACTCTTGTGACAGTGTTTTATATATATACGTATAACCAAGGCTCTTTTATTTTTTTGAACTTCAAATGTTTGGGGGATGAAATTTAACATACCCTTTGATGCATACAGTGCATCTTGATCAGAGTCTCCTCTTCTTCATTTACAGTTGTACAATTTCAACCTAAATGTTTTTTAAAGTAGTACTTAGAGAGCCTCATAAGGGCAATATGTGTAGCTTTATCTGTTCTTTCTTGAGTATTGACAGTCACGATTTCTGTTAAAGGCAGAACTGAACCGTTTCCAAGATACCAAGAGACTCCTTCAAGATTACTACAGCGTGATGGAAGGAAAAGTCCCAATAGAAGACAATGAGGGATTTACGAGAATCCCATTGGTTCAACTTGATGGTAAAGACATCTCAGAAAACCAGCTTAGGTGAGGCTCTTCATAGTATTACGCCATAATTGTTTCTAGATATAGAGCTGTGATTTCAAACTACTACAAATAGAATATCACATTCCTTTTATTACAAATACAGATGGCCAAGATTCTAAAAATCGAACATTTTTTTCTGACTCCAGTGTATCATTGGCTTAAGACTACTAACTTACTTTATTTATACTGTGAAGAGTGTTATTTGTTCCTTTTTATGCACAGATGTTGTATTGTTATCTAGGAGTTCCCCTATTGGACATTTTAGGGGCATAAGTGGATATATAGTATGCACAAATTCTGAACTCGGAAACACTTGCAAAATCTGAGCATCTCTAATAAAGGATTATGAACCTCTATTGTCTTTACAAAAAGATCCATCGTGTGTGTGTGTGTGTGTGTGTGTGTGTGTGTGTGTGTGTGTGTGTGTGTGATGTACATGAGTATGTGGGATGCACACAGGTGTCTGAGGGTGTGATGCACACGAGTATGTGTGGGCATGATTATAGAAATGAAAATGGAATGGAAAATGGGACCTCACTCAAAGATGAGGGAACTGAGAAATATATATACATGTGATTTTGACTTCATGAAACTGAAAGAATGTTTAACTTGATATTAGATATCTGCCAGAGAGAAAGTAAACTTGGTAGTCATACAAAAGAAAAAATGTTTTTAGTCACACAAACAGATCAGTATAACATAGAACTTTGTAGGTAGTTATTTTGAATAACATAATGGATAGAAACATGGTAAGTTTGGGATAACATTGAAACACTGAAAAACTGAACAGATAGAAAATAACGTCATCAAGAAATGTGGGGTAGAGTGGTTGGTAATTCATATGATATAATCTCCAACCAAGAAAAACTAAGAGTTCTTGCTTACTCTTGTAACAAATCAAAATAAAGTAATTTAAAAAACAATTGAAAATCCTCAGTTAGTAAATGTATCAAATGAAAATAAATTGATGAAACATAAAGATGAGTTAAAATAGCATTCTCTCATATCAATAAACATTCAGATGAAAAACTATAAAGCAAAAACAACAAATAAAAATCAAGAAAGTATAGAAATAATTTTTTATTAAGAATATAATTGTGTTAATAAAAATGATAAAAAGTGGATAAGAAGGAATAAAGAAAGAAGTTAGATTTCAAAAACAATGTACAAGCACTGAGTGTCAGGTTTAGTCTTCTAGGAGCTAAGCTACATATTTCACACTGAAAGTAGTATGCTCTTTCTGTAAGTTTGATCAACCAATATATGCAGTAGGAGTAACTCAAACAAAATGTATAGCAATGAATATTTTCAAGTCAAGAACACTTGATTTCAGTTCTGGGTCTGTCACTTCCTAGTTATATGTAAGTAGGTTAAGATAATTACTTATCTGGTCAAATCACTTCAACTCTCCAACTCAGTTTTCCTTGTCTATAAAGCAGGGTTGAGAATCAAAAGATTTGAAAGCTAGACCCAATAAAACTCTCACCAAATGGGGAGTATTAATACTATTCCACAATATGCAATTGTGCCTATTGCATGTGCATGCTTTGTTTTACCTTCCCTTGTTTTTTTCAAGGATTTGAGATCACATGAACACAACTGAATTAGGCCATGTCCTAAATTTCGCTTCTCTCCATACTTCTTCTATTGACCACCCTCTTGGTCCTATCTGGCCACACAAATGCAGGCACATGAATACACAAGAAGAGAAGCCTGTACCCTCATTTTGATACAAACATAAGAGAAATGTTTAGCAAACTGCTGAAAAAGAAATGTGAAACTGAAACAATTAAAACTCTAGAGTCAGTATAAAGCATCAAAACCATCAAAAGGCCAAGTTTCAGTGTCTTCAGTGGCACTGCATTCTGTTCTTAGCATAAAATAGCAAGTCAAGAATAACCGGGAAGCTATTAATGTTGCTTAGTAGAATAAAACCTTCAAAAGAACAACCAGTTCTTATTTTGCACAGACTCTGTACCAATCTCAACCTCAGATCACTCTGTGGCTATCTGCTGGAAATATCAGATAATCAGTATATCAACCAATCAACCAAGCCACAGTCTCTGTAACATACAGAAAGAACCAAGCATAGCAATGAGCATTTTTACGTAGCTTTCCCACTATAGTCCTCCCAACAGCCTTATAAAAAAAGTAATAGTAATAAAGTAACATTATACATAACAGTAGTAACTACTAATTAGTTGATAATAAACAATAAATAATAATAATATATTTGTATATTTCCAAAGGGAGCATAAGTAAAGAAAGACCATGCCCCAAATTCACTTTCTCATAGTGGAAGAGCAGACTAGAATTTTTTTCTAATAAATAAATTATAAGTCTGAATTTTTTCCCAAATGATAGGCACCACTGCTGTGTTTCAAAGTAAGATGATAAAGCATATTTTTGGACAGTGTTTTACATCTAGAGATGATTGCACAAACTTTACATCAACTAATTGGGCATACAAATCACAATTGAACTGGGCTATGATTTAGCATTATTTCATAACTTCACTTGTGGAGGGATGAGCAGTGAATCTCCAGACCTTGCCTTTCTTAGGTGTGGTAGATTGTCAGCAAAGTTTCTGCGAAAGTGTTCTTGGGGCTACCACTTTCCCATTCCTTCCCAAAGTTCTGTCACCATGGAACTGTTCCCATCACAATAATTATTCTACAGTGTGCATCTCTCTCTGTGTTAACCTTTGAGATCCTAGAATGTTCCAAATACACCATATTACCTGGGATAGCTCTGAAATTTCTACATGGGAACAGTAATATGGTAGAGAGAGGGTTGCGGAAGAGCCTAACTGTTCCTATACGTGTCCAATGCCCCAGCTACACCAAATCCTTGCTGCCTCTATTCAATAATCATGTTCAGATCTCACATGTAATCGATGTAACATACATACCTTGTCTCACATGCCTCCTATATAACTTTCTACTTCAAGACTGCAGATGATGCTAGATCTTAAAGAAAAGCCGCACAAGTTCTATTTTGGCTTACTTTGTTCATGGCTGCTTTGTTTTTCATTGGAAATGTTCACTGTGGACAAATTCCAGAGTGGCATTTCTTGATAATATCTAGTATCTTATCTTCTTTGTACTTATTGACATTTAAGTCTGGAAATGATGTTTGGTTGTTTTTGAGTTTCCTTTTTTTAAAATTTTTTTATTGCGAAAATACCGCACAGAGGGCTTACAATTACATGGGCAAGGTAATGGGTACATTTCTTATCAAGCATTATTACCTCCTCCTTTGTTTCCCCTTCCCATCCCTTCCCATCTCCCCCCCCCCACCCACGCTCCCGCCCCGCCCCTGCCTGGCCAAAGTTGTGAAGTTCGTTTTTCAACATAACAACTTGAACATCTCATTGTTTCGATGGGTCCACCTGTATCCCTGTTTACACGGTTTGTTTTTGCCCTTCCCCTCCACAAATTATACCAACATCAAATACAATGAAAGCAGAGGTTATACCGTGGGGGAGGGACATACAAAGCCACAAAGAAATCATCTTATAATATGGTAGAAACAATAGCAAGAAAGAAAAAAAATTTGAATACTTATCTTGGGGTTCTTTTCACCTAACATCGACTTATCTGACCTTTTCTGCTTGTCTCAGACATATACTAGTTATTGCCAATAAGGGAAACCATTGAGTTTCCTCTTTGTAAGAATGTTTAAAGCATGAATATTTAAATATGCTGTTTTATCATCTGTTCTCCTCTGAAATAATGTGTCCAGGTAAACTTTAAAAATGCAAGTTATGCAATAAAACAAAGAAATACAGTTACAAAAACAGAATTCTGTTAAGTAAAATCTTTATGTTTCTTTGGATCATTTTCTGAAGGATTCCTCTAGTCCCTCGAATATCTATTTCTCCGGAAATGGCTACACCCAAACCAAAAGTCAAAGCAATACTGAAAGGCAAGATTGATTACTCACTAGAAAACGTGGAAGCAAACTTTGAGGCTGATGAAAAGTTGGTGATGGACACATGGCAGCAGGCTTCGTTAGCAATCTCTCACATGGTAAGCAGTGCTGATTTTCACATTTTTGTTTAGAGTGTTGGGATCCTATCAGTCATATGCCATAGGATCTTTTCAAGCATTTTATACATGTTTGCCTGTATGCAGTTTTGTTTTGCTTCTGAAAGAAAACAGGAAATCAAATGTTTTAATATTGTAAGTAAGAATTATTTCCAATCATTCAAATCATTTCTTGTATAAATAATTTTGAAAGCTTGAGATCATGCATAAAGTGAACCAGTGCTAGATAGTTTCCTGTGCTGGCAAGGATTACAAGTGAAGTAACCAAAAGGGTCAGTCAGGCCAGTGAAAGAGGCAAGTCAAATGGGAGACAATGGGGAAGGTTGGGACTGTGCTGGCAAACTTTGCTACTTACAAATGACCCAACAGCCAGATTTCCTACTCTTCTAAACAAAAAACAAACCATCAGAAATTCAGCTATTGATTGTAACAGTAGCAAATGAAATCTGATTTTAAAAATACTTTTCAGACACAAGCCAAACAATTCAGTCTCCAATCCTCCTAAACCTGTATCCTTTCCCTAGAGGGTCAGCATTATCTTTTACCTATGGGGTGAGGATTATTATCACATATCTATGGGGCAAGTATTATTATCCCCTTTTCACTGGAGAATTAAAGTTCATGCACATGAATAAACTTGCCTAAAATCTCCCAGAAGGTAAGAGTCAAAATGAAATTTGGACTTAAAACTTTCTGATTTTTAAGGTTTATATCCCTTTCACCCACATTCTGGCTTGTTCCACCAGCCAACCCTCTCCTAATCTGATGGGATATCATCTATCTCTTTTCCATGAACATTACCAATTTCAATTTCATGGTTTAGGGAAGCTTTTCCTTTGAAAATCTGTTCCTTCTCCACCTGTTTCATTCCTGCACTTTATTTAAGTATTTAGAACTAGTTCTTGCCTTTATTCCTGACCAGGCAATTACCACTTTTCCTAACACCCAGCCTTCTGTAATCATAAACTCTGCCTATATTTGTAGCAGTTACTTTCTCTCTTACAAGCTTAGCTCTTTGTATCTTTCTAGTTGTTTTCTAGAATATTCACTACACCACACCCTACAATTTTCCATATCCCCTAATCTAGCCCAGTGCCCCTATGTAGTGTAATACAGTATTAAAGTGCTGTTGCTATTGTACGTACAATACTAATACCAGTAGTAATGATGATGGGACTGGCAGTAATGATTACCACAAAGAACCTAAGATATATGAAACACTACAGAGTAGAAAACCAGATGGAGGGTTTCTAGGAAACAAGGTGGACTACTGTCCATAGAACTACATAAACATAATCTACAAAGTCTTCTACAGCCCATTAAAAATTGCCTGGAAGAGATTGCATAATTTGAATATTATAATGTTTAATAAAATGAATAAATAATATTATAAATATTAGATTATATAAGTATGATTATCATTTGCATCATCTACATGTTGCATATTTAGAGAGGATTGCAGAGCCAAAGAACACCATATCGCTTATGTTTTTCATAGTATTTAACTGTGTTTTTAGGAAAATCTCTTAAACTAAGGCTTCAGTTTCTTCTGTGCAGCAAGGTATTCTTGAAAGATTGAAAAGATCCAACAAAGTAATGTAAATGAAACATTTTAGAAATATTTGATAGAAATTTGTTTTAAAATTTATCATTTCCTTCAGGCTTTAAAAAATCCTAGAAAGCATATGAACAAAAGGAATGCTTACTATTTAATATTACTAATAATTAGATCTTAATCCAGCTTTCACAAGTTTCCAGTAGACTTTGATGACTTGGAGGTCACATGCTCAAAAGCAGACTAAAAATAAATTATACTCATGGTGTTAGCACCCAGAATCCTGGATGTTTCAACCTATCCCTGACAGAAAGCAAATATTTAAGGGAACTTTGAGTTCCTAATGATACAGCATAGATAAATGGATGTGGGCAGAAGAGTACCCTCTGAGATTAGTCCAATTGGAGTAAGAGCACTTTGACAGCTTTTCAATACAAAACTCTTAGCAAGAGCTATCCATTTAGTATGCCATGTTGATTTTTAGCAAAACTTTCTTCTAATTACTAGGTATGCAATGATTTCAAAGAAGTCATATTTATCGCCCACAATGTCAAAGCATTATATTTAAAGTTCTCTCCTGCCTTGGAAGCTAGATTGCTAAATGCATTGCAAATTGTGTTAACTTTTAAAAGAGATCCACAAGTCTTTAAAGGAAGTGGACCAAAAAAATACTCTACAGATTATAATCATTATCATCATCATCGTCATCATCACAAGGTTGTTTACCAAGGAGATAAATCCAATTTTAAAGGAAATTGCTAACTTACCATGATTTGCAAGAAGAGATTCAAAAATGAATTGCTTGCAATTTAGGGGAGAATGTTAACAAGTGTGCTTTCAGCTTTACCAAGAATTTGAAAGTACAGTATATAGCATGAAATCCATTTTTATCAAAAGAACATCTGTAGAAAAAATCAGAAAACAAAAACGATAATACTAGTGTGCTCTTTTAATCTTTCCATATACATTCAAGGTACAGTTGATATAGAAGAAATTGTAAGTTTACTCTATGGAGTATGATTATTTTAGAAGAAAGGTTATCAGTTAATAAGCACTTGAGATCAGCTGTAAACAGAGCGCAGGGACCCAACACTATGGAAAACTATAAAGGCAGGTCTGGTCCTTAGGCCTGGGTAGCTTCATAGACCATTTGAATAATGAGGTAAGATTAAACATTAATGTAACAGTTATGGACAGCTACATGCTAAGCTATGAGGATATAAGACAAGGCAAAAATTATAAGGCAGGAACTGACCGGTGTCTCTGATCCACAAGACTACATGAGGAAAGCATTGTGCCTTGCCATTTGTCTACTAGTCTTCTGCTTTCTCCTCCCTCTCCTTACCCTAATCTCACCAGAAATAATATCAAACTAAGGTACTGTAAGCGTCTGAATAAAAAACAAGCCCTCATTATCCTTCATTTTTGTGTGTGTAAGCTGGGACTAGAGTTTTAACACAGGACCTGTACTTCTCCTCACCTTTTTCTATCTAGGGGTGACTCCAGTGACACAAGCCCTAACATAAAGACTATATATAAATATAAATATGTAGCTCTCTATATGGTATATGTAGATATACACATATATTTATGTTTTCAAATTCAGAAATAGTAATTGCATATATTTTGGCTTACAATGGGATGTTATATTTGTAAACTTTGTGTAATTATTAAGGCTCATCATTCACATTCTGACTTCATTCATTTACCATTCTTTTGAAGCAAGCATATATAAAATCTACTCTTCTGGCAATTTTGAAACCTATAGTACGTAACTATGTTCATCATGTTATGCAATACAACACCAGAACTTATTCCTCCCATCTAACTGAAACCGTGTGCCTTTTAACCAGCATCTCTCATCTCCACAACTCCTCTGTCCAACCCACTGTCTCTGGGGAGACATTCCCTTCTCTGTTTCTATTAGATGATACATGTGACATTATGCAGTATTTATTGTTCTGTGCCCAGAATTTTATACTTGGTCCATCTCTGCTTCATCTCTGCTGTACTGACAACAAGGTTTGCTACCACCTACAGGCAGAGCTAATGTCAGAGGAGAGTTGGAGGAATCCTAGAAAGGCTTGGCTCTTCTGAGTAAAGGCTTCCTTACTCCTGGCTTGCATGGGATATAAATACACACACAGTTACAAGAACACTTTTGATTTTTTTTTGTCAATTGTGAGGCTTGAACTCTGGGTGTGGGCACTGTCACTGAACTCTTCAGCTCAAGGCAAGTTCTCTGTCACTTGAGCCACAGTGCCACTTGCAGTTTTCTGCTGCTTATTGGAGATCAGAGTCTCATGGACTTTCCTTGCCTGGGCTGGCTTTCAACCGTGGCCCTCAGACCTCAGCCTCCTGAGTAGCTAGGATTACAGGTGTGAGCCACTGGCGCCCAGCTACAAGGACACTTTTGAGACTGAATGGAGGGAAAAGAAAGGAGCTGGAAAGTCAACTGAAAGAGGAAGCCAGGATTTATGAGATTAGCTTTGAGGAACAGATCATCCTCACCAGCACTGAGCCTTCTAGCTAATCTTAAAATGGAAGCCCAGTATTCAAGTCTTCATAACTCAATTGCCATAGGGCACACATTCTCTAAAGTCGGCTAAGGGGGTATGAAAATAGATCTCATTTTGTGTACAAGGCACAGACACATAGCACATAAGTAGATACAGTTTCATAAATATTAAAATTTCATAGAAATTCTATTAAGAGAAACTATAACAAAATCTCCATACTGGGCCATTAGAATGACAATTAAGAAATGCTGTTTTAGGGAATATTAACGAGGGTTATTAAACTCATAGTCTGAGGGTTTTTGTTGTTGTTTTTTGGGGGGTTGTTGGTTGTGGGCCTGAACTCTGGGCCTGGGCACTGTCCCTCAGCAATTCAGCTCAGCTCTTCAGTTCAAGGTTAGCCTTCTATCACTTGAGCCACAGCGCCACTTCCGGCTTTTTCTGCTTATGTGGTGCTGAAGAATCGAACCCAGGGCCTCATGCATGCAAGGCAAACACTCTACCACTGAGCCACCTTCCCAGCTCTTCTGAGAGTTTTTTTTTTTTAAGAAGGTTTGCATATCAATGGAGTTTTCACTGTCTGCGGAGGGCAGCAATGAGGACACCTAGTGATACTCTACAGGCAGGATTTTGAGAAATTGAGAACCTCCATTCAGATAGAAATGGGAAGCAGAATATTGGGGACAGTGACAGAGCTGCTAAAATGTGCTTTGGAATAAATGAATATAAGGTCATGGGGAATAAGGTTTCAAAGGAAAAAGGTTTCAAAGGAAGCTGGTGATCGCTAAATCCAAAAGGTTAGTATACTTCCTAAATGTTCCCCTAACCACACTGATTGCTTTGACCCAACTAGGTAGCTGCTGAAATTCATCAGAGGCTCATGGAAGAAGAAAGCTTAAATCAGCCACCAGAATCAAACGAAAAGTCTCCTCAGCCTGGTGCAAGTAAAGGCAGAAAGGAAAAGGAAACACTCAAGAAGAAAAAGGATGAAAAGAAAGCAAAAGGTATTCATGGTTTTAGTGCTCAGACTCCTGGGCTCTTCAACCTCTTCTTGGCAAGAAACAAATCTTCAACCAGACACATTATCTTCTGAGCCACTAGGGGACTTAGGTTGGAAGGTAATATTACTTAACCTTATGGAGAAATCTACCACAAACATTGTCCCCCTGTGATGTCTTCACTTGTACATTTCTAAGTTCATATAAAGCAAGACAGGAAGTGGAAGCACATATACATCATATTTATGACCTGAAATGCCCTAACATAGGTGCCAAGAACACAACTGTGAATTGCAAAAACAAAAGCCAAAATCATAGCTCTGTCCTAGTATAAATAGTCTAACAGCAGAGATAGACATTGGCAGTCATTTTTCATTAATAATTTTACATTTTTATTAGCATATAATAATTTCATTGTGGTATTTTCATACATGCACATATGACATCATCTCTATTATTCCTGTCACTCCACTGCCTCTTCTAAAAACAATTGCAAGTGAGATTGGAATATATTGCTTGTCACATACACCTTGCCTTCCTACAAGGTTTCACAAATGTGCTTTTCTAGCTAGCACATTGAGAATTCGCGAGAAGGGTTATCAATAATTCACTAGGCAAGGCTTAGCTTTCTCCATCCTAAATCACGGATGTTTATAACAGAATTTTTCATTAGTACTCATTTTGTCCAAGTACCACAGACATACACACACGCGCGCGCGCACGCACACACAAACACTCAATAGTTAATATTTGACTCAGCCTCCATCATTTTCCTTTCAGGTAAACTCGAATCTGCTACAGAATCCACCCCTGTACTGTTATCACCCTCTAAAGAAAACATCGAAACTCAAAATAGAAGTGAACTGAAGGTGAGAATCAAGGAAGAACATCTTGCTGCCCTGCAATTTGAAGGTAATGGAGGGCACCAGGGCAGTTGGTGCTGTTTAGTGCCAAGTAAACCCATAGCCAAATAGCCCACAAGAGGCTCATCATAACCTCAGACTGTGTCTACAAGAACATGGGGCTGACACTGGAAAGACAGCAAGCTCCCATAAGTAACAGTAACACAGTGAACCTCACAAATCCCCAGCCCTGAGGCAAATGAAGACACCTGCTTGTCTCCTATTATCTGTCCTCACATCTGGTTCCAGTGGTTTTCAGTAGACTTCTTTTAGTTCATCCAATTCATGAGACCTGTTGCAGTGAAATTCACTCATTCACATAAAAAGTTGTTGGGCCAAATCCCCTTGTGATTGCTTGGTGCACCTGCAAAAATGCACAAATATAAAACAAATGAACAAAATTAAAGCTCAATCTAGAAGAAGAGAAATTAAAACAATGACTTATATGTTTTATATTGGAAATAGCCATGTAGAACACTAGATGCAAGAGATTGGAAAGAAAGGATGCTGATCAACTGGTGGCTCACACCTACACTCTGTCTACTCAGGAGAGCGAGGAAATAGTTGAAGCCAGCCAAGGCAGAAGAGATGGTAAACTCCATCTCCAAAATGACCGGCAAAATGCTAGGCTGGAGGCATGGCTCAAATAGTTGAGATCAAGCTGAGCAAACAAACCTATTAACCTAAGAGCCCTAGGTTCAAATCCCAATATGGTCAAAAAGAAAAAAAAATTAGAAAAGGAACTGATGTGTGAGTTATACTGGAAGAATAAGGAGTTTTCCCAGGAGGCAATTTGGGTAGAAATTCAGAGAGGACATTTGCGAGGACTGAGAGGAGTAAGGAATGCATTCTATTTGGTAGTCTATTTGGTAGTGACTTAGCTCAGGTAGATGAGGCATATTTTAGAAAGGAGTGACTTTGCAGAAGGGAAGCCAAACCATGGATGATGTAATAGGTGCAGCCATTGGCAACTGGGAGCTAATGGAAAAAATGGGGCCAAAGAAAGTGATTATGACCATGATAGCAGATGATGCAGATTATTCAGATTCCTCTGGATAGTGGTGTGTGGATTTGAACTTGAGGAGGGGAAATAAGTCAGTAGAAGCAAGGCTGAGGCTGTTCCAAAAGTGAGAGATAGTCAGTACACAGATAAGGTCAGTGGCAATTGAAAGAGAAATAGTGAAGATCAGAAAGCTTTTTGGAGTGAAGCACACAGTTCTTACAATGAACTAGGAGCAACAATAAGCCCAGAGACAAATTCCACTCTCATTTTCACAATGTAGAGAAATATGATGGCATTGCTGCCCCCAAGATTCTAAAGGAGGGAGAGAATAAGCAAAAGATTTTATGCCCCTACTTTTGAAACTCAGAGATGTTTTTGTCATTTTATTTATTTAAAAATCATTACTGTTAGAAATTATAGCAGATATAAAACTCAAGTGTAGCTCTAGCTTCATTTCTCAAATGACTTAAACTACATTTGGCTTCTTAATGAGATGGATGTGACCTTACCTATACTGATATATTAAACATGCACCTGAAATTTCACAAATCAAAGCATGAGTATAAAAATGAATTTGCGTCATCATGTTCTATAAGCATATAGTATTATATTAATTAATAGGCTTCATTTAATATCTTGATACATTTATATAATATACTTTTGTCATATTCAAACACATATATTACTTTCTCTTATCTGCCCCCATTTGCCTTCTCCCAATTCTTTTCAAATAGTTTCATTTCCACTATCATGTTTTTTAAAAATAGACATCTTATTTGAGACAAACATGCAATCTTTCTGAGTCTGGCTTATTTCACTTATGGCTTATTTCTCTTTTAATATAGAGATAGCCACACAGTTTCGACTAGAACTGATCAAGGCAAAAGCATTGAGTGTCCTTGAAGATTTAATCACAAAGGTGGTGGATGTCTATAAATTCATGGAAAAATGGCTTGGGGAGAGGTACTTGAATGAAATGGCCAGGTAAAGTACGACATTTTTAAAAAGACACTGCTAATCCTCACTGCCAAAAGTGATAAGGATTTTTAAAGTGTTCACAAATTTAAATGAAAATGAAAATTTTGGCCTTTAGGAAATCACTCTTAGAAAGGCATGAGACCAGCTTTACTATTGAATTTGCATTGCCTCTCTTCACACAGTAAATTATGTGTGAAAAAAGTAGTTGGGCACCAGTGGCTCATGTCTATAGCCCTGGCTACTCAAGAGGCTGAGATCTAAAGATTGTAGTTTGAAACCAGCCCAGGCAGAAATGCCTATGAGACTTCTCTCCAATAAACTACTGAAAAGGCAGAAGTGGAGCTGTGGCTCAAGTTGTAGGGTCTTCACCTTGAGCAAAAGAAGCTGAGTTCAAGCCCCAGAACAAGCACAAAAAAAAAAGTAGAGTATCCAGTTTTGCATTTTATTTGCGTTTAGTTTTCATAAAGCTCAATGGGAACCTTACTTTACAAGGTAGGATATAATTTTCCATATTTTTCAAATGTAAAATAATACTTTCCATCTTTCTAAGGTAAACCCTGTCAGAGTTAATAGTGTGAGATTAAGAAGTCATTCACTGAAATGTTTTACTAGTTGGACTGATTCCTTGGTAAACTCAACATTCCGTTCTCCTTTGCTGTTCAGTTAGAAGGAATTTCCAGAGTCTGATTACTATTGAGGGCAGAAGATTTCATCGTCTTACTTCTCCCCTTGAAAAGGCATGAAGATCCAGCTTAGAGGAGAAGAAAGGCCCTCATCCGAGCATCCAGGAGACAAGGATTGCTCTAGTGTCCATTGCTTTGAACCTTATTATCAGCTTCTACAAGAGGCAATTTGCCAGTCATTGTATTTCAAAGATTTCTACTTAAGCTGTATTTTGTAATGCACTACAGTTTGCAATAAACATTTACTGAAATTTTAGCAGTTACATATAAATAGGATTCAAATAGCAAGTATTCTCAGAAGCAGTAATTACCATCTTAAAACAAAACAGTTTTTATGGTTTGTTTTCCCCAGATCTTGTCTCATAATCAAAGTTCTACTATAAAATCTTCAGCCTAGTTGTTTAGAAATCTTGTTCCATTGGTTCCTCCCATAAAAAAAACCAGAGTTAAAGAAGATTCTAACACACATTGCAGTAGTAATATATTTAATGTAATCACATGGCTGAATGGCCCAAGTCTATTACCATCAGCCTCACAAGCAGTAATTCTCAGTCCTGTTCTGTGCTAGCTACTTACAAATCAAACTATTTTGTCTTCGTTGGAAGGATTCATAGCTTCTATCAAGTATAAATGAATGTTGTTTTTAGATGGTATACCTGTGTTTCTTTTGTGTATATCTCTGTCTCCAGAATTATGGATGCCATCTTATGTTGTGGCTGCAAGAAATGAAGGAGTTAAAAACCTAGCATATAATGGGAAGTGACAGCGACAGAGAGGAGAAAGAGACACAGAGGAAAGTAGAGAGAGAGAAAAAAAACAGGCACAGAGAGACACAAAGAAGAGTCTCCCTTTGAACTCCAAATCTATTTTTTCTGGCATATTTTCCCATCCACTAGATGGTGCACACTTGCCTGAAATCTCGGTTCTGATTGGATCTCAAGCTGGATCCAATCAGATCTCGAACAGAAATCAATCAGAGCCAATGTCCCAGACAAGAAACACCATAAGTTTATGAACTAATCAGCTACCACATAGTAAATGAACACTCACAAAGATGGCATTCAGGAGTTGACTTAAAGGGTATCTTTTGGAAGACAGCAACTAATACTACTTACTAAATTGTCACTATGGATATTATGTAAAGGTAGTTGAAATATGTTTTCTTATATCTAGTTACAAATAATTGTATTGTTCTAACAGTCATATTTTACCAACCCACCATATTAACTTATTCAGGTTCAAATTTAGAATGAAATCTACTTTTGATAAAATCTTGCTTAGATAGTAAACTATGTTCCAATATTAATAGTAAAAAAAGAATAGATTCTCTTTTGGCTCAATTTGTTAAAAATATGTGAAACTATGAGCTATGTAACAAGCATATATGTTTTAAATTTGCATTGGACATTGACCTTATGTTAAATAGATTTAAAGAAAAGTTAAAATATTGTGTAACTTATGCATAGCATTCATTTCATATATATGTGTTATAAGCAAATATTAATCTAATAGCATCTTTAGCAGAGATAACTTTATTCCTTTTACTGCTTTCAGTGTAGAAAAATTAACAGAAGTAGCTCGCTATCACATTGAAACATCTACAAAAATTCAGAATGAGCTTTATTTAAGCCAAGAAGTTTTCTTCATAAATGGTGATGTAAAAGTCTTCCCAGATCCTCCACCACCAACACGTCCACCACCTATAGAAAAGGAAGAAAATGGCACCTTGACCATCGAACAGCTTGATAATCTTCGAGATCAGTTCTTCGATTTGGCACCTAAAGGTAGGAAAATGAATTGTCATTGAAAAAAAAACACTAAAAAGATTATGAGTAACCGGGATGGGTATCACTTGGCCACAAGAAACATGAGTTCTGTGGGAGAGCAAGGCAATACATAGCCCTCAAACCTGTTCTGACCTATTAGCATAGACTGTGGATATGAATTAAACAGACAGGAGAATCAGATTGACTCACACTTGAGGAGTGTATCAGTCTTCATTCCTGGTAATTCTTCCCTATTGTCCTTTTCTCCCTCTTTCTAGAGGGAATGTGTGTGTATGTATGTATGTGTATATATATATATATATATATATATGTATATATATATGTATATATATACATATATATATACATATATATATACATATATATACACATATATATACACATATATATAATACTGATATATATGTATATATGGGTATAACATATTGTATATAATATATGTGTGTAAGTTATATATAAAGAATATTAAGAAAAATATATCTTCTTTTTCCCTCCTTGCATCATAGACAATTCATAGACCAAAATGATGTATTTACAAATTTTCCCTTGTGAATTAATTTGTGTGTGCATGTACATGTTATTTTATGCATGTGTATATGTGCATACTGTTTTCTGCACAAAAATTTCAACTCCACATTCTATCATGACTTTTTAGCTCTTGTACAGGATTTCAAAACTCAAGTGTTTTCTAAAAGTTGGAATTAATACATGATCAATCATGTAGCATTATCATCTCAACTCTTTAAGAATGAATACTAAGATATTTGAGCAATTTATCATCCAAAATTCTACTGGTTCAAAATTCTCATACACACATTGAACTAGGTTGCAGCTCATTAAACTGTTTATTTTATCTCCAAATATATTTTACTTATTGGTAAACCATAACTTTTTATAAGTTCAGTATTAGCATGATTTCATTCTAAGAAGCTTTTCATAACTTCAATATTAACATGATTTCATTTTTAAGAAATTAATCCAATATTTCCAGAGATCTGTATCAATTATCATTGATTTAAAAAAAGAACATGATGGGCTGGGAATGTGGCTTAGCGGTAGAGTGCTTGCCTAGCATGCATGAAGCCCTGGGTTTGGTTCTTCATACCACATAAACAGAAAAAGCCAGAAGTGGCTCTGTGACTCAAGTGGTAGAGTGCTAGCCCTTGAGCAATAGAAACCCAGGAGAGAATAAACACTTTATCAAAGTGCTCAAAAGCAAAGCATAGGAGAATCAATGTGCAGTGAGTGAGGTTGGTCAGAGAAAAATGTAATTTTAAATATACTATATAAAATTATTGACAGAAATGATACCCTCTGATTAAAATCTTGTGAATGATGAGTATCAGGATATAACAGAGCTAACGCTTAAAGAGCTTTCTGCCTGTTATTGGTTAATCAAATTGAAGTCAGTCTTCAGTTAAAATGAAATGCCCTTGTACAAATATTTGAAGATAATAATGAAAAAGAAGTGTTCATAAAATAACCCTTACTGGATGCAATATTGAATCACACATTGTAATATAGAAGTTTAAAACTCCTTTCCTGATTAAATCCTCCTTTTTGATGATTCTAAATCTTCTTTGGCAAAAGTGTTATACATAAAATATTGTTTGTTGTACATTTTATGTACATAAAATATTGCTGTTTACATGTTGACTCAGGTCAAATGAAATGAATCCAGTGATCATGCTTGCATTTTTGCTGCCACTGAGCAAAGATCTGTCCATGTATTGGAACAATAATAAATGAACAATGGGTCTGAGAACCATTTTTTTCTATTGACTATCCAGGAATCATCCTGTGAGTGCTCTCCCAGGATAGAGTGAAATAGGGTGACTGTTTTCTGAATCATAACAATAGCCAGCTTTGGCATGACCACCATGTGTCGAGCCCTGTGCTAGCATTTTCTGTGCAGCAATTCTTAGCATCTCAACCTATAATGGGATGTCTGAAGTCACACTGCTCTTTCTCAAGTCTACTTCTTGTTAAATGATCTTCATAACACTTGGAGCAATTTATTGAATTTCCCGCCTCTTCCTCTGCAAAATGATGGTAATGATACACAATCACTATAAAGATTAAAGAAAGTTATATATTTAATGTCTTTAGAAAGAGTATAAAACAAATAATATAGTAACATTAAGTCTTCCTGAAATTGGATCCCAGTCTCATAAATTCTTGACACTTAGTAAGTCAATCTTCTTCAGAAAACTTTATAAAGTAGTTTAATGTTTCCACTGGAAATTTTTTTGAAAAGCGATGTGAAAACCCCTAGAAATCCACTGAAATAGTGATTATTTTGTAACAACTGTTGGAATACAACCACAAAACTCATGCAATTTAATTATATATAAGCTACTGTCATATAATGTAATTTTACTAACGTCATATTAGTGTATAATATTTAGAATTGTACAATGCTGATTAAGACCTTTATTACTACCTAAAATGTTATTTGGTGTTCTGACCTAGTAGGTACCTAATATTGTCCTGGAGGGATTCCACACAAAAAGAGAAATCTATCCCACATAGTAGACTAAAATCATAAAGTAGTGTGGATCCCTGAGGAGTGTGAGCATCCAAAACAGAAAACACTGAGGTTGTGTGCTGCAGTAAACTCTGCTAGGAACATCTTGTCTCCAAACACCAAATGGCAAGCATATTGGGGAGACAGCCTAGCTCTGGGAGAAGCAAATTGTAGTCTATTGAAACTGGAACATTTTAAGTGTTCCCTTATCCCCACTTAAAATTATCAGAACTTCTTTTCCTTGTAAATTCATTGGTACTCTGTGTGATGCCTGTAAAGATTTGGTTCATCGCTATTTTGGCCTCTACTGAGAGTCTGTGTTGAAAGAGTACTAGCAAATCCTCAACTCTCACTGTTTCTTCAGAAGAGGAAGTATTTGGGTGTACAAGGCCTGTAACATCTTGGAAAAGAATTCTCCTTTGAAAGAGTCTCTTGGAAACTCTTAGATGCAGTGACTGAGTGCAGTGATAGAGGATGTACATTCAGAATGCTAGCTGCAGTAGCTAATCTGGATCATTCAGCTTCTAAGATCTTGCTAGAGTTCCAAAAAAGAATTGGCCCTTGCTCCTTCCTTGGGGCATCATAGGTGCAGGGCACAGAAAGCTTTTCAGATTGGCACCCCTGAGAAAGCAAGTCAAAGAATGGCATTGCAGGAAAAAGAAGAGATAGAAGACATAGAAACTGTGGGGTCATAAAACAGCAAGCCACGCAGGGTGAGATAGTAAAAAGCCACAATCAGTGAGGTATCTTGAGACGCTTCCAAAAGCATTTGAAGCTAACTGAAATGGAGAATACTTCCAAAAGGGTACAAACTATGTCTGCGAGAGCAACAGACACCAAATTGTTCTACAAAGACTGCTATAAGTTTTTTATTATAAAAATAGTATACAGAGGAGTTACAGTTACATGAATAAGGTAATGAGTACATTTCCTATCAAACATTGTTACCTCCTCCTTTTACTCCCCCTACCATCCCTTCCCTCCCCACCTTCCCAACTCCCCTGTCACCCCCTAAGTTGTAAAGTTCATTTTCAACATAGTGTCTTAGACATGTCATTGTTACAATAGGTAAATCTGTATCCTTGTTTCAGCATTTTGTTATTTCCCTTCCCCTCCCCAAATTAGAAAAATGTATATACAAGATGCAGGGCACTGACATCAAATACAGTAACTTTTTAAGCATATTTTGATCCAAAAATTGCTTATAATTACTAAAATTAAATTAAATTTTCCTAAAAACAAAAGATATAGAAAGCCTATTTATAAAGGGGTTATTACAGAGACATAAGTATTATTAATAGGAATAGCTTCCTGTGTGTAATACGGAGGAATCCCAGAAAAGGGTGTATGGTGCCCCTTCCTAATGATCTCTCAATGGTGAACACCTTTCTCAAGAGAAGACTGGGATCATGGAAATGTACAGTGAATGCAGCAGCCTGTGTATCTAGCAAAACTGTCCACAGGAAGTTTCAAAATGTTGTCAGGATGAAAGATTCTTGAGAAGTAAATGAAAACTTATGCTCCCTATGGCAGATAGTGTCTTCTAGAGAATCTGCCTTTAAAACTAAAATATAACAACTAGTTAAATCAGTCATTTAACCAAAGACTGATTTTCTCATCCTTTCCTTCATTAACTTGCCAGTATATATTTGTGTACAGCAAGCATCAAACATAACCTAGTGTAAAAGATTGGTAAACACTCCAATGCTTAGGTAAAAAGATGAAGGCAGTAGCTGGCAACTACATTGAGACTAATTTTAAATAAAACACAACAATACCTGGACCTTGAAAGCAAACAGAGAAACTGAGTACCAGTGGCTCAGAACTCTAATCCAAGCTACTCAGAATGGTAGGTCTGGAGATCACAGTTCAATGCCAGCATATGCACCAAAGCCCTCAAGACTCCATCTCCAATAAACCAGCAAGAAATGTTGAACTGCAGGCGTGGTTCAACTGATAGAGTTACAGCTGTGGGTGAAAAAAAAAACCAAGTGGAAGGAAGGAAGGAAGGAAGGGAGGGAGGAAGGGAGGGAGGGAGGGAGGGAGGGAGGGAGGGAGGGAGGGAGGAAAGAAGGGAGGGAGGGAGGGAGGGAGGACAGCAGTGATCTGTACAATGTACAAATGTGATTAAAAGATAAAACAGAAGATGTAAATAGAGTATGAAAGTTAGAGAGACATCAACTAATACAAAGATTATTATTATATTATTATTATATCAAAGAGACAAAAGATAGATTATAATAATCAAGTAAAAAAGATTTATTTTCATATAATATTTATTAAATATTCATCAGATATCTAGACATGATGGAGCAGAAAACAATTTAGTGTAATTCTGATATAGAAGTGTTTAAACTAGATAGCTTAGCTTGGCCTTGAATTCATGATCCTCCTGCAAGAGCTGCTAGTTTGAGGAGATGCTTTGTTTCAGGGAGATATTTTAATATAATTATCATACAAACACATATTA